ACTCACCTTGTGATGCGCTTCCTAGGCGTCCCATTTCGCGGCGACACCAGAGCCTACAGTGAAGACTAATTTTTGTAACAACATGGATTGTTACGGTACATTTAGCACAACAAAGGTGCCCATGTATGTAACATTAGTGGGGTGTGTGTCTAAATATATCCCACAGGCTAGGATTGTTGCTAAATATAGAACAGTGCGATTAAAATTGAGTACTCTAGACCAAAGGAACGGCTGTTGGGTTCAAGGTTTACTCAACCCAAATTTAACCCCACACGTACACGTGGACTTTTTATAGTATAAGTTTAATATAGGACGAGTGTTATTGTTGAGTAAAGAGTATATGACCATGGTCTTTTCTTTAGGGTCCACTACTTGTACAGTTTACTTACATTACACTGACCTCAACTGCAGACCAATAAGTGTAGATCTGTTGTGTAAGACTATGCATTCTTCCACTACATGCCAGCACCCCTTACAACATGCAGTGTGCCATGGCAGGACAACCCTGAAACTGTGAGTGAATTTGTGGCCTGTGCAGTATGAACAATGCCACGCTGTACAGAGTTTTCAAAAAGTCACGGACGGGATGCGTTGGGTAACCAAAAACAAATCTCGTGACTCAAAACCCAGTCTTAACAAGGGGCTTCTTCGCTTTGCCTGCCTTTTGTGCTGTTTTACGTGCAATGAGCTCGTGATCTCCGTGTTTTGTGTTGGGTTTATTTGGGGATGATTTGTCTGATACACATCTGTTGGCGAGTTCTAGAATTAGAGCACGTTTGTCTGCCCGTTGCAATCAGACACACACACACACACACACACACACACAGAAAAAAGTCTATGATACTATAAGTACTTGTAACCCTAGTACTTATAAGTAGTGACTATACTTAGTGATCGTAAGCCGGCCAATGTACAGCACAACATTCTTTAAAGCCGAATTACCTCCCTCCCCCCTCCCTCCTTCCCTTAAAGCCGAAAAGTTACGAGGGAATTTTCCGTGTCAACAAAGGCTTTCTATGCGAAATTTTGTAGGAGTTTATTATAGCGATTCGCGAAATTCTCGTTTGAAACTGAAACGAGAATAGTATGTGTACCCATGCTAGAGCCAATAATAATGTGGTATGCCCATACTAAGGTATACTAAGGTAATAGAGGTCCATACTAAGGTAATAGTAAGGTAATAGAGATCCATACTAAGGTAATAGAGAAGTAATAGTAACTCCATACTAAGGTAATAGAGCTCCATACTAAGGTCTGTACTAATGCGATCTAGGTCAGTCACATTTACGAATTTCACACTAACGATGGATGTCTTGGGGTTTAAAAGCTGCTCATATTAGGCAGGTAATTCCCTATTGTTCATAATTATTAACGAGGTCTATATATAAACTAAATTGGTGGGAGTGGCTTACTGGAAAGCGGTGACTCGATCTTCTGGGACGCCCTTAGCAAGACACTGATCGGGGTTGAGCCACTTGGGGTGGTCCTCGTGCGTGATGGTTACCTTCTGTGGGTAGACGAGAGGAAGAGAGGAAGGAAGTGAGGGAGAAATAGGCAAAGAAAGAGGGGAAAGAAAGGAAAACAACAAAAATAAAGCTGCAATGAGAGAGGAAGGAAGTGGAAACTAATGTGGATTACAGAGGGAGAGGTAATTCATACCATCCCTTTCATTTCACCATGCAGCTACACATGATTCATTGGGTTTAAACACAAGACCATCCCTTTCATTTCACCATGCAGCTACAGTAAGTAAAAGGGCTGAGTGGACAAAAGAGGGGGGAGGGAGGTAATTCGACCCACTAGCCATTACCTTAAACAGCATAAACCTCGAAATGTTCTCCCACTCAGCGACACATTGACTCTAACCACAACACACCTAGCCACGGGAATCGACACACTCAGACCGACTGAGTTCTTACAACTACTCAATAGAACCTCATGCATCGCAGCACCATATCAATGTTGCTAAACATTCAGTACCTAATGACAGTACAGCATGCCCCTTACCTAAATGCAATTGTGCATACTTTCAAGTGTTGGAGGCACTGCAAAATAGTTTTCCTCCAGCGTTTTGCATAGCTACACGATATCTCACTGTTGCAGGGGTTATAACTTTTACTACTGTGTTTATTCTAATGCTGAGCGACTGTTACACCGGACGCCCTCCGGGTGTGATCAGCTGCTAGCCAACGCGGAAAACGAAAAAAAAACACCGACCTCTTCTTCGGGTGCGGGTTCTTCTGTCTCGGCCGCGCCGTCCCCGCCTCCTTCGTTCCCTTCCTGCTGTTCCGCTGGTACCTCCTCCTGCGGCTGAGTCTCTCCTTGTCCCTCTCCTCCTCGTCCTTGTTCGTCTTGCTGCGGTGCTGCCGTCTCCTGTTGCTCGGCTGACTGAGCTGCTGTGTCCTCAGACTGCTGTTGGGGCAGCTCTTCTTCTTGCTGTGGCTGCGTCGGCTCGCTGTCCGCCATTTCTACCTCCGCTTACACTCGCCAATAACGCAGCACTGCAGAAAAGTAGAGGGAGAGTGGTTTTTTTTGCGGGATGACTCCACGCCCTGTAGTTTTACGCATGCGCATTACATACATCGCTCCACACGCGCCCCTCGCGAGTGTACGTGCGTGTTGTTTACTTGCCGACTCAGCACATCTGGCCTCGCCGACTACAGGACACGCACAGCTCGGCTCTCGTCTTCTGAGAATTCCTCGCTGTCGTTACAGAGAAAGAGAGAGAGGTCCGAAAGAGGATATGAATTTCAGAAACGATCCCTTTTTCGAGTGAGTGTCATAGCAACTCTCGAGTAATCGCGGTGCTATTCTCTGGCTGCGTTTTGTCGATGCGCGTCTATAACTCTGTCTTGTTTGTTGTGCAGGGAAGTTGCCCCACCGCCCGTGTCGCTTTTCCCGGACATGGGCCTGGGAGGGAGCAGCGCCACAAGGGTAAGAAATCCCATTCCCACGTGCCCCCGTCGTGTGTATAGTGTTGTGGGGGTCACGTGACTCTGCCTATAATTACCTTTTCCCTTTGCCAACAACGGTTCTTGCATACATTGAACCACTGAAATGGGACACCTCACTAATTCGCCAGTCTGGATTAGAGAGTTTCCACTGTATTAAATACAGAGGCAACACCACCACCACCATGACCGCTCCCTGGCACTATCCCCGTTTGGAGGAATGGGAATGGGACCGATGATGCCGTTTGGTCCCAGTCCGTTCTCAATGATGAGTGGAATGATGCAGAACATGGACAACATGATGAGGAACATGGTGAGGGGGCGTGGCCATTTCCCTGTTGCTATATAGGAGCAACTGAAATCTTCTGCACGAGCTTAATGTCACACAAGCAGTGGTACTGAATCTTGAGCCATGGGGAAAGAAAACATACATACATACATACATGCATACAATTGCCCCGATCTGCCAGCCTTTGTGACGTAATAATTGTGCCCCTGTCTGCCAGCCTTTGTGACGTGAACCTCGCCCCATTCTTGAAAGCTAGCCACCTCTCCTCTCCTCTCACAGCAAAGTCAGGCTGCAGCAGGTGGTCACTCTTACTCCTCCTCCACCACTGTCATGCACTACTCGTCAGACGGCCGAGGAGGCCAGCCTCACACGTATCAGGCCACCAGCTCAACTCGACAGGGACCTGGAGGGGTGAGTACCTCTGTGATTCATTCTTACTGTGTGCCGACGGGGCTTATGAATTAGTCCTCATGAATATTAATGAGGCAGAAAATAGTACGTCGCAAAAAAGGCATCCTGTGCTACAGTACACATGCAGTGGGTAAAAGGTAGCCCTTGCAGGAAGGGAGGCATCTGCATGACACTTCTTTTGCGCTGGGGGTTTGCACTTCAGTCGTTTTCATTTTGCCTCTTTTCAGGTGAAGGAAACAAAGAAGGCAGTGAAGGACTCTCAGAGTGGAGTTCAGAAAATGGCTGTTGGTCATCACATTGGTAATAATCTCTTTCACACTAGCATTTAACCCCATTCTGTTTGCCACCAATTACACTTCTTCCCGTTAATTAACCCCTTCCACACTAGCATTGATCGACGTCAACCCTATTCGTATAATAATAATATGCCACTGACTGTCAAAACGTCCCTGGCAACTCGGGGCCCATATAAATTCTTAGGGACTTGTGGAGGCTCTGGACAATATACGAAGATGTGTATGACTCCCAACCCCGTTCATTTGTCGGTCTGTAGGTGATAGAGCACATGTGATTGAGAGGCAAGTGAACGCCAAGACAGGAGAGAAAGCTCAGAACCAAGAGTTTATCAACCTGGACGAGTGTATGTTCACGTCCTCCCTCTTCCTTTGTCCGATCTCTTTCCCTCTTCTCTCTCTCCCTCCCTCCCTATGTACACCTCTCTCTCCTATACTGACTCTTTCCCAACTTCTCTCTCTCTCTCCCTCCCTGTCTTCTTCCCCCTGAACACACTCTTTCCCTCTTCTCTCTCTCCCCCTCCCTATGTACACCTGTCTCTCCTATACTGACTCCTTTCCCAACTTCTCTCTCTCTCTCTCCCTCCCCGTCTTCTTCCCCTGAACACACTCTTTCCCTCCTTCTCTCTCTCTCCCCTCCCTATGTACACCTGTCTCTCCTATACTGACTCCTTTCCCAACTTCTCTCTCTCTCTCCCTCCCCGTCTTCTTCCCCCTGAACACACTCTTTCCCTCTTCTCTCTCTCCCTCCCTCCCTATGTACACCTGTCTCTCCTATACTGACTCCTTTCCCAACTTCTCTCTCTCTCTCCCTCCCGTCTTCTTCCTCTGAACACACTCTTCCCTCTTCTCTCTCTCCCTCCCTCCCTATGTACACCTGTCTCTCCTATACTGACTCCTTTCCCAACTTCTCTCTCTCTCTCCCTCCCCGTCTTCTTCCCCTGAACACACTCTTACCCTCTTCTCTCTCTCCCTCCCTCCCTATGTACACCTGTCTCTCCTATACTGACTCCTTTCCCAACTTCTCTCTCTCTCTCCCTCCCCGTCTTCTTCCTCCTGAACACACTCTTACCCTCTTCTCTCTCTCCCCCTCCCTATGTACACCTGTCTCTCCTATACTGACTCCTTTCCCAACTTCTCTCTCTCTCTCCCTCCCCGTCTTCTTCCCCCTGAACACACTCTTTCCCTCTTCTCTCTCTCTCCCTTTCTCTTTCACCAAGAATTGTATTTGTGGTTGCTACACTATCACTCTCCCTTCTTTACTTAACCACCCTATGGGCCACGGCTGTCCTTATATATCTTTCCTGAACTTTTATTGTCCTGCCCTCATATTGTTTTGCCCCTATATTAGCTGAAGCAGATGAGTTTGGGGTGGAGTGGAAGGGAAAGACGCACACTCTGAATCACTCTTCGTCTCTGCTACACCCGAGTCTTGGCCACTCCCACCGTAATCACCTCGCTGAGAGCAGGGGCTTACCCTCCACTTCCAGACCAAGAAGTCCAGGTAACCGTAAATTTGTACGCGGAAACTGTCAAAGGAAGAAAACCTTATTATGTATGCACCAAATGGCAGCTATAGCTACACTGGGACCATCGACCCCACCCACGCCAAGAGCTATAAAGACAGACATAGTCACAAAGTATTGTAGAAAACCCACTGTGCCATATGTACATATAAACTGATCTATTGCTCAGTTGAAGGGGAGGGAGAAGCGAGGGGACGGAGAAGAAGTAGACCAGTGTCACTGAGTGCAGAAGATGAGGAGACTGGGTTGTGTCATTCCACCACTACTAGTACCAAAAAGTGAGGGATTTGGCAATTGGCCAACAGGTGACCTCAGTGTATGCACGCGTGACTCTCATCTCTACATGTATTATAGTAGCACTATATATGCTTGGTAGGTTTTTGGCCACTCAGTTCTCTCGGTCACTCCTGAGTCTGTACTTGTCATCATAATGACTTGTTGGCTTGTCAACTGAACACATACTGTGATGATGCAATAACAGCGGAACCTACAAAGAAGGGGCACTTTGGGGCCAACGATTTTGTCCCTTGGTAGGGAGGTCGTCCCTATCTCGGAGGTCAAATAAGCATTGGTTTCAACGTAGAGAGGTCGTCCCTATCTCGGAGGGTCCCTTATTGGAGGTTCCACTGTATTGCTAAGCCGGACACACTAGTTTGATTCACAATTCTGTTTGTCATTATCATTGTGCCCGTAGGTCACCAAAGATGAGTCGAACAAAGTCCCCTCCTCATGGACACAAGCCCAAGCCGGCTCACCAAAACCCCCATTCCCATTCCAGCCAACTCCAGACCGACCTGCCCCCATTCCGTTCCGAAGCTCCACCTACCAGCAGCACTGAGACATCACGTGGACGCAAGAAGAAAGGCGGGAAAAGGACAACCTTTGCTGCTGATGTGTAACTAGCTAAATTACTTGCAGAGAGAACTGCTGTTGTATTGCACTGCACTCATGAGTGTGCTGATCCTATTGTGTTGCATTTGCAATTAATTTGGCAAGCAAAGCAAGTCTACCTATTCTAAAATTGTGCACACTTCTATTATATACAGCATTATGCATCCAACATTTTCATCCCTTACCATTAATACAGCATAATTATGTGTAACTCAATTGTTGTGCAATGTGCACCTACTGTTGTGCTTATCAACAATGTCATTAACCCTCGGCGTGCCAGGGTTTGCACTTCAGTAGTGCTTTTCATTACACAGGAAGCAATATAATTATATTGATGAGGGAAACTGTTTTCGCTCATGTTCACAAAGGTGTCGCAGCAAACACGTACTATACTGCACTCGGCATGCAATAATCATAAAACAGTCGTGCTTATTGCTATAAGCAGCAATAAGCACGACTGTTTTACATTCCGTGTGATACATGTGTGAATGGGTGTGTAATACATGCATTAAGATGTAATATCAAAAAAAACTAGGATGTACAGTTGTTGCAGTTAAGGTGGAGTTCTCTTTACTCGACAGAGGTTCTTCAGCAAAAGGTCTTTAGCAAAAAGGTCTCAGCCATTCTGTCAGTACTCCACTTGGCTCCAACTAAGTTTCAGCTCCAGTAGTCAGTGAGAGAGATGCAGCTACAAGTGAAGTTCTCTCGGCCTGACAGAGGACCTTAACTCAGCTCAGCATAGTTATGAAGTGTTCAAAAAGTTTGTTCAAAAGTATACAGCTGTAGCTACAGGTTGAGTCTCTCAACTCGACAGAATATAATCTTCAGCAAATATCAGTCAGCATGACTCCACTCAAACTCTCTGCGGCAGTAGTCAGTGAGATATGCAGAGGTGAAGTCGTTTGTCTTTAACCAGCTCAGCATCCAGTGCTCTACTCAGCTCCAATAGTCAGTGAGAGATACAGGTGAAGTTTCAGCCTGACAGAGGATCTTTAGTATCAGCCATTCTGTCAAGGTCTCAGCATCAGCCATTCTGTCAGTACTCCACTTGGCTCCAGCTTCAGCCGTGACTGTGCAAAAATAACTAGTTACACCATGCAGAGACAGTGCCTTTAGGGAAAGTAGTAACTCACCCTTAGAAAGAATGATCATCTTCAGAACCACCAGAGAGAGACTTCCACTGTCCGGAGATAAGTTTAGGTATAATATATATAGCGTGCTCAGATTTTGGAGTGAGGGCGGAGGGTAAGGATTATGAGCCAGTCACTCTCACCCAGAGGTGAGCTAGCTGACTCAATGCGACAAGTTTGGTTGCCTGGCATGACCTGTGCAGACGAGTCCTCAGTCTTTGCACAGGAGATGTCAGGCGTAACGGCCAAAACCCACGCGAAGGTATTGTCGCATCTTTGGCCCCCTCCCTCCTTCCCATTCTTGCGCGTGCAGCACTAAGGCAAAGCCCGAGGTCTTGCTGTCTATGAAGGCTCTTCTACCGCAAGGCTTGCGTTGAAGGCTAACGCAGGCTTGTCTAGAGGTCGGCTTCACCACATTGACGACACGACCCCGCCCGGAATGCACACGTCGCTGCTCCCCTCTCGTTCCACTTCCCGATAGCACCGCCTCACGACCAGTGCAGGGACGACTCTCTCTCCTCCCGTCTCCTCACGGACTCCCTCAGTCTGCCAGCTCTCTCTCCCGACAGAGATTCTGCGTTCCAGGGTCTCCTCTCCGACATCACTCGTTACACCACAGTGAAGATGAAATGAAGATGACAACAACCTTGAAGACCCGGGAACCTTGAAGACCAGAAATGAAGACCTTGAAGACCCAGACGACCTTGAAGACCCAGACAACCTTGAAGACCCGGCAATGAAGGTGATGTGAGGTGAGGTGAGGTGGTGTAACGAGTGCTGTCGGAGAGGAGACCCTGGAACGCAGAATCTCTGTCGGGAGAGAGAGCTGGCAGACTGAGGGAGTCCGTGAGGAGACGGGAGGAGAGAGAGTCGTCCCTGCACTGGTCGTGAGGCGGTGCCATCGGGAAGTGGAACGAGAGGGGAGCAGCGACGTGTGCATTCCGACCGAGGGAGGCATCGAGAATGTGGTGAAGTCGACCATTTCTAAGACGGAGGCTCGATGAGGCTCGATGAGGCTCGATGAGGCTGGAGAGGAAAAAAGAGAGCAAGTTAACATACAGCAATGTTACCAGTGGAGAGGTAGCGACATCTTCTGCAGCTAGGAAACCAAGCATGCATTAGGGGCATCAGAAGAAAACGCATGCAAGGCTGGCCTACCTAGGTCCTACTTAGAACCTACAGGGAAAGAAAAAGAGTTAACAAATGAATGTATAATGCATACATACAATAATAAATATAAAAATTACTGAAAAAATAAATGACGATGAGTAAAAAAATGATGATGAATAAAAAATTAAAATACAAAAATAAAACAGAACCCTCCTCAAACCCGCCCCAAGGGCAACCAACAAAAAAATTACCGGCATCCATGGATGAGTCGTCGAGTCGACGAGTCGATGGGAGCGAAGTAGATCCAGCTCCGTCTGTGTAACAGAAAACAGCAGTTTGGCGACATCATCTCGGAGATGTAGCCATAGAGCTACCTACCAGATGAATGGGCAGAGAGGAGAGCAAGTGGACCAGTTTCTGGAGAAGAAAATGAGGGCAAGTTAACATACATTAATGTGTGGAGAGGTAGCGACATCTTCTGCAGCTAGGAAACCAAACATGCATTAGGGGAATCAGAAGAAAATGGCCTATAGTGTTTGCCTAGGTCCTAGCTACCTAGAATCTACAGGAAAGAAAAAGACGAGTTAACAAATGAATGTGGAATACATACATACAATAATAAATATAAAAATGAAAAATAAATGATGATGAATAAAAGAATGATGATGAATTAAAATAAAAATACAAAAATAAAAACAGAACCCTCCTCAAACCCGCCTCAAGGGCAACCAACAAAAAATTACCTGGACCAAGTCGTCGAGTCGTCGGTTCGTCGAGTCGACGAGTCGTTGAGTCGACGGGTCGATGAGTCGCGAGTCGTTGAGTCGACGGGTCGATGAGTCGGTGAGTCGATGGGGGCGCTGTAGATCAAGCTCCGTCTGTGTAACGCGCGGGGCTGGGTGCATCTGGAGTGGGGCAAGGAAGGTGAACGCGAGCTGCGTTAGGCAGAGACAACGTACAGTGGAGAGAGTGTCCGTCTCGCCGACATGACTGGCCAGTCCATTGCAGCTCCAGCTGAGGAACTTTGCGAGTATTGGAGAGAGGCGAAGAGTCGGCGCTGCTGGTTGTGAAAAAAATGGCGAGCGATAGAGTTTCTGTGTTGCAATTTGCGCCGACTGAACTGCGCGCGGAGAACCAGCGAAACGATTTTATGCTCGGCGCTCACGTGCACTTGAGTTACCCGCCTTTTTCTACGACTGACCAATGAGGTTGCAGCTTGTGCACTTGCAGACGCATGACCTGATGAAGCCACGAAGGGTGTTACAATAACTTGTACTCAAACATTATATTTTCTTGTAATCACCGGTCCACCGACAATACAGCCGTGTCAGGTTAGGAGATACTAGCAGCACCCCCACTTTTTGAGGATGCCCCACTTTTTGAACCCTATCTCTGCCCCTGAGTATTGAAATCCGTCAATGCGCAGGAGATCATAGTGTCAGGCATGGCTCCGCATCCAGCTAGACAGGAAGTCCTAAAATAGCATGCAGTGATGCAGATGGATGATGAAATAGTGTCTAAAAATAGAACTGCACAGTTGCGCAACCACACATCCTCTGCTTCTCTGCATAAAAGGATCCAACAAAGACAGATCAATCATCAGCTATATTCAGTGTACCTGTAGCAATGGCTAGTAAGTCTAAACCTAAACAAAGTGGTGCAAGTGCCCGTGGGGGCAAAGGTCGTCGCCTTGGATACTACATTCTCCCGGAGGAGAGGGTTGACTTTTTCCTTGTTCTCGATTTTGAGGGAGTCAACAATAAGTACCACGGAGGACCTGATATCATGGAGCTAATAGAATTCCCTGTACTAAAAGTGAATTCGAGAACTTTTGAAACCGAAAGCGAGTTTCACAGCTATATCCAGCCGACCATACACACCAGACTTAACCCCGTGTGCACTGAAATAACCGGTATCACCCAGGAAATGGTGGACGGTCAACCGACACTGCCAGAGGTCCTGAAACGATTGGACGAGTGGATGAAGGGGGAGGGGCTTCTGGTGGGCGGGGTCAGGACTTGTTTCGTGACTTGTGGTGACTGGGACCTGAAGACAGGTCTTCCAGTCCAGTGCCAGTACCAGAATCTTGAGTATCCTGACTACCTCCGCAAGTGGATCAACATCAAGGTGAATAAACTCACACTATATAGTTATATAATAGCAATGGAGGTTATATCTATAGAGGAAAAGAAACTCATCTACCGGTAGAGAGTGGTGGCTTACTATATATATACATGTATGAGCAATAATTATACTTCACTAGTATGAAAGCTAGTGGCAACAAATACTTATGAAACTGAACTGAATATTAGTAGTCCTTTGCTAATGCCGAATGGTTATAAAGTCATTGCACAAAAGGAAGGATAGGAAGAATGTGAGGAAGGATGTAGCTATTAGAGCTCAGAAACCTTGCTGATCATCCTGTAAATAGTAGATCACTCTCTTGTGTAGGTACTACTATCACCTCCATTAATACATACACACAGGACAGCTTCCAGGCACTGACTGGTACGAAAGGCCGCAGCATGAAGACAATGCTGAGAGACCTTCAACTGGAGCTGGACGGGAGACACCACAGTGGCATCGATGACAGCAGGAACATTGCCAAGATTCTCAGGACACTGGCCCAGCGGGACCCTCACAGACTAGGGCAGGGTATTGTGACACCAAAAACGTTGAATAAGACGTAATGATCACGGCCTTCCTATATAGTATCGATTTAGATAAGTGTTTTATTCAGCTGATTATTTTGTGCCATACTAATCCTATATAGTAGATTAGTGTTTTATTCAGCTGATTATTTTGTGCCATTTCTCTATGTGATTAGTATTACCCACTGTGGAAAGAGTTAGGAAGTTGTCCCAAGACATCACCCACGGTGTGGTGTGAGTTTATCGTTCTTGTGACTGACTGTTTTTTTAGTTTATATATAATTGCGGCAGTTCGGGTATTTCGTAATGACTACTCTTCCATAAAGATCATAAACTGAATTTCTTGAGAGTCAAGATTCACTGGAGAGGAGACCAGGGAAGGGGGATAAGGCCCTTCACATCGATTGCATCGAAAAACTTGGATGTGTCACGAGCTAGAAAATAATACAACAGAGACAGTTAGGAATAATTCACTTCTCTCTCACCTGTCTCTCTCCAATCTTCATTGTTCTTGAAAAGGTCCTCTCGGTGCTCATGTCTCTTGTCAAATGACTCGTGAGGCCAGAGGCTAACAACTGCGTGCAGAAAGATCATTAATACTCGAACCTCCCTCCAAGTGACTTGGTTCTGCCTATTAATACATTCGTGTCATTACAGGACACCTCTCTATAGATACTAATAATATTGTTACCTCTGAAAAAGGACACCTCTGAATAAAGGACACTTTCGTTGTCCTGAAGTTGTCCCTCATTCAGAGGTTTCACTACTGCATAATAATAGGCAAAGTCAACTAACATAGGCTGGTGTTTCCAAATACAGAATACCAAATGGCCAGCGGGTGGGGGTAGTCTTCGGCTAATCTCGCGGGGAGACCCTGTAATACTCTATGCTCCAACTGCGGCATCGTTCCTGGCTTGACTGTATGAGTAACCAGCTCATACACACCTGGAAGAAAAGAGTTCCTACCATTATGAGAGGATAATGCTGTCGTCACACCATTGAAAGAACAGCTCTAATTTTGCATCCGCATACCCCAATTCTGTGGTGTGTCTAGCTTTGGTGTGTACCAGTCAAATGCCTTCATAATGGTATGATTCTGCAATAAAACAGCTTCGTATAGTAACATACCAAATTGCAAACTGTTACAAAGTCTTTACCTGGTAAACTAGGCAAGTCAGAGCAAAACTCAGGTATTCTTCTACTGCTCTTTTATCACTTCTCTTCGCCCTTACTACTTCGTCTCTGTGAGCGTAGTTCTCTGCGCAGAAAATGGCTTCCGCTATTATTTGGCCACACCCTCTAGCATTTCTAATTACTGACCGTACTCCCACAGATGGTACACCTCGTTCAGAGATCCCAAGCTAGAAGCCCAGTAGCCCAACAGCTTCCCGTGAGGCATCATCAGCTCTGCGTACTTTTTCTCTCCGTGTCGAATGAACTCCGCGTATTTGTCCGGTTTCACTTCGTAGCGGCGCATCTCGTAGATCTTTCCGCTGGCTGTCGACGAGCTCCGACTGCATATTCCGCCGCTCGATAGTATGAGGCCAGCAGTGGGATTTCGGAAACCACGTGGGAGAGCTGCAGCAGCGAGGGCCATAATAACTGCATGCACCGATTGTTTCGCATACGCGCATGCGGAGGCGCGGAGTCCCAGAGTCGAGCTAGTCCCGAGCGATGTGCGCGCGCATGCGCAAATCAGCTCCACCCATGTTTTGAAGTCAGCAGCCCCACCCATGTTTACGTCGAGCCGGCCAACAACTAACAGTCGTGAAACCCTCATGGCTAGGAGAGAGGTAACGCTATGCCTCAGGTACCCAGGTTCATCGCAAGCCCTTCAGCGGCTGCAGCAGAGCTACCTCGAGTGCGTGGTGGAATACAAGTCGGGTAGCGAGGCCGAGCTGCAGTCGAAACTACCGGCCGATCTGTTCTCCAAGTACCAGCTGAAGGGAGCGATCACGGTCGCCGACGACGAGATTGTGATACAGTTCACCCCCCGACACTCGGGCGTCCACTGCGCGCGTCTGTTTTCGGACACGCGCGAGGTTTGTCGTCCGGTGCCCTTCGTCGTGACGCAGAGCGGAGAAACGGTCAGTATCCAGCCCGATAGACCCGTCCGAAGGCCCCCGTCGTGGGAACCTACTCCCGCTCCAGAGCTAATACACACACCGGCTTTTTACGGGCTCAACAATCCCCGTTTCCCGCCCGCTGCGTCCAAGCAGAGCGTTACGTCGGACGCTACCACCGCAGCGCAAACAGAGCTACCCCGACACGAGCCAGAAGACAGCGTGGATCACGTACGCGGCTACACGTCGGACGACCCGGAGCTAGCCGCACCGGAAGGAAAACGGCTCTTCGTCGGGGGATTTTCTCCGGCGCAGCGGACGAGCTTCGTGGCGGGTGGGACACGCCCACATTCGGCGATGGTTCCCGACCCTGGTCGCTTTATATCTCCTGCTTCTCCGCAACACCAATCGCTAAACTTTGGCGAGATCTATTCAACGAAGAAAGCCCGCGGCCGAGCCTACGGAAGCCGCAGAGGTCCGCTCAGCATCGACTACCAGTCCATGCTCACGACGGAGACAATGCGCATGCTCAGCAAGGAAGCCGACATGCAGATGAAGATCTTTCGCGGAGGGAAAGTAAAGAAAAGGTAATAATCCTCAGTTTTGGTTGAAAAAAGAATTATACGAGTTCATAACGTGCAATAATATAATCAAGTTGGGGAGAGAGTTCAAAACATGTTTGTAAGTGTGATCAAAGAAGCATAGTATTTGGGTTGATGAAAGCTGCACGAGTTGACGCAAATGTGATTTTGTACATAGGTGTGATATATGCTCTAAGAAGGTGAAGCTGACTAAAGTGGTATCTCTTGGGGAAGAGGAATATTGTGACAACTGTTTCCGCCGACAGTATCTCCTCTCGCAGTGCCATTGACCACTTTATGGTTAGCTGCCTACAACTCAAATTCCTCAGATATAGAGCTGCTAAGTTTGCCTAATATTGACCCGTATATAGAAGATTAAATGTTTGGTTGTTAATTACGATGTTGGCCTTTCGGCATCACTTCCATACGACATTTTCATGAATGAATAATTAGACACTTTGGATAGGTTTGACATTGTGCGTACTTTTAACCGGAAGCTAAACTGTTTTGCCTTGTTCATAAGGTTCCATGTGTGCAAGAGTGCAGTGTTCAAGTACCAAGTAAGTCCGTGGCTATAATTGTGTGTGGCATGATTATGAGATCATTATGACATCACCTTCTATCCACAGTCAACAGGAGGGCAACAAAGTTCATAACGGCGAGAAAGACGATTGTAAATGTCAATCTAAGAGGTTAGAATGGTTTTTTGGTGTTATATACTTTTCAATGTTGTACCTTACAATGTCAGTATGCAAATCAATTCATCATTCGTCCTTCCACTACTATATACAGTATAGCTAATGAACGATCGTTCACGTGATGTTACTGTACCACAAAATGCAGGTTTGGAGCCAAATGATGTTCGAAATGCCCACGAAGAATTCAGCAAGTTTGACATGGAGAATAACGGTCAGTGATTCATTATTATCAACAACAGCTTGCAGACATTTTTTATGAGATTATGAATATCAATACACACACACCCCATGCAAAGACAGTAAACAACACACTCAAAGGTGCGTAATTATCAGACTTATCAATAGGGCCTTCCTGCAATCACATTCACAAGATAAAGTGTTTCCCTATTACTGAGCCTAACAGTAGGCAGCTTGAAGACTGAAGACTTAGAGCAAAAAATAAAGAATAGTATGTGCGAGACAAGAAACTGAGCAACTTGCTCTTATATAACACAGCAACAAATTTTGTTGCTTGGCACAAGATTAGTGTTGTTCCCTACACAGTTGCAAGTTTTATTGCAAAGTCTTCTCCTTGTTTCCTGAATGCCAACGTTGTCTTCACAGGTTGGATACAGAGAGGTGTCCTAATGCCAGTGCTGAAAGCATGCCTCAGTCTCTCCGGAGCTCTTGACAAAGAGGCAAAGTTCCTTCTCGGCAGCCAGGCCCTTCAGTCCATGGTATAATAATATAATAATATAGTAGTGGGGTAGCGATGATTTCAAGGGTTTAGCAGTTTCTGTATCAGCCAATTAAACAGAACTCTTTTGGGACCTAAACTTTCAGCCAAAAATCATGCACATGGACAGAAATTGGTGGGCAAAAAACCCCAATTAAGAGACACCATAAAAACTTGGTAGCTACATACATTATTATATATGGTCAATAATAAGCTGTTATATACACAGGTATCATCTTATGGACTGGATGAGCGTGCGGAGGTCCACGAGATTGAATTTCTCAGTCTCTTTGCCTTTCTTGCGAGAGAGAGGGAGCGACTGCGGTTGACCGCCAACCCAAGAGCCGGGAGCGTCTTCACCAGAAACGACCTCGAAATGGCCTACGCCTACCGTCAACAGATGTTCGGAGGTGCATCAAAAGGTGTGGGCGGAGTAGGTCACCATGGAAACCAAGGGGTGGGACAGCCGGGTTGGGAAGGTTCGTTTCCCTCCCAGCAGCAACAAGGAGGAGGAGGCTACTATCTCCGAAACAGTCCAACACAGGATTCGTTCAATCAACAGGGCTACTCTTCCATCTCGCCTTCCCCCAGCAACATGGCCATCGTTCAGACATCTTCTCCGCAGCGTCGACAGGTGGGCGGCGGTTATCCTGAGTCGATGCAGCCGTTCCCCAGAGAACAGAGGCAAAGTGTGGCTAGCAGCAGTCAGTACATTCCTCTGGGAGACCGGATTGCTGCCAGGAGGGAAGGTGGGCACTATATAGAGTGGGTGGAACCCCTTTAATCCGAACTCCGAACACAGTATTTAGACAGAAGAAATCGTACATTTTGGTGTCCTTGTGCAGCACCCACAGTCAATGATTCAGACCCTTATTGTACCTTGGAGATTCAAGGGACTCGGTGAAAGTGGGGAAAGAGATAGTGTAATCATGCGCAAGGCTGGCAGCACCACACTTTCTCAAAACGGGAAAAGGAAGTATGGGGTTCTAGGGTAAAGAAAAGGTGTCCTTATTATATAGTGGAGAGTTGTCTTCATATCAGGGGTGTCCTTAGAGAAGGCAGGGGTTCCACTGTATTTCTCTCTCTCTTCTTTAGCTGCAAAGAGACTGAGTGTGGTAAGTAGTGGCGGTGGACCTGAACGGGCAGAAGAAGACCAGGATGAAGATGAGACTACTCTCATCCTGCCTCCAGACAAGGACCCTGCCACCCAGCACAGAACAAATTCCCTCATCGGCAAGAATTCCCCCAACAAACAACAGGTATAATACTATACTATGTACTACTATAGCTATGTACTGAAGTTCAATTCATAAGCTGCAGCTTTCTAGAACCCCAACTTCCAACTTTGAATTCACAACACACAACTTGGAATCCCATTCCCTAATTGTATTATACACCATACATGTATATCTAATATATATTGTCAATCACATGATCTCAACGTCAAATCTTTATAGCTGTGCATTACTGGTTTGTTGAGGGTTGGTGTTATTGTTTTAACCCTTTTTGCACAGATGGAAGATGTGAATAAAGAGTTAAAACTGACCGGAGGGGAGGCAGACAGTTGGATGCTTTATTGAAACCACACCCCCCACTTAACTCGCATGCACATACATACATAAATACAAGTACACACCTTTTTGCACGACACTTTTTCGTACGTTTGTGCCACATGATTATTCTTCACTCAACACTTTTTGCACAACAAAATGTCGTACGTTTGCCTCACAATAAATATAATTATTTTTTACTCCCAATTCGCAACTGTATAAACATAATGTTGCTTTTAGCTGTAACACTATACGTTTGTTCATAATACAGTTGAAAAGAAAAAACAATTGAAAAAATGGTGATTTTGATTAGCGTCAAGAGTGTCGGAAAACGTCCTCACAAGAAGTATTCAATACCAATCTCCATGGCAGCAGCAGGTAGGTTGAGGTCAAAGGACGTGATGACATCAGGATGGAGGACTCCCAGGTGACCAATCAGATTGCCTCGCACGTGGACCTCGGCACAACGACCAGGGAAATAGGTGGAGTCTGGGGGAAGGGGAAGAAACGCAAAAAGTAGGAGTAAAACGTTCGCTTGTTTGCCTAATCATTAGAATGCCTAATCGTCTGAATTGGGCGATTATGTCTGCATGTGCATTTGTATATAGACGGCTCTGTCTATACTGTAATGCTTTGTTGGTTTAAATACTGTATGCGTAAACTTTTCTGAAATTTCGCACTTGGACTGACTCACATACAATGCATTCAGTATATGTAGATCTCTCACCGTCACACATCTCAATGTGATATCCAGTCCCATCGTCTGTGAACTGTACCTCCAACAGTTGCATGACTCGGTCCAACAGTCCATGGATTATCTGTACATTATGGATGAGGTGTCAGTAATGATAGGGCAACAGTTGCATGACTCGGTCCAACAATCCATGTATTATCTGTATATTATGGATGAGGTGTCAGTAATGATAGGGCAACAGTTGCATGACTCGGTCCAACAGTCCATGGATTATCTGTACATTATGGATGAGGTGTCAGTAATGATAGGGCAACAGTTGCATGACTCGGTCCAACAATCCATGAGCTATCTACATACATTATGAATGGAGGTCTCAATAATTATAGAGATACTGAGATATGGTAACAACTGCATGATGCATTGATGTGGAAAATGAGATGTTCAGGCTAAATTCCAACCTATTGCAACCAGTGTCTAATGTTACATGTGACCCATCAACTCATGTTACCATTGCTTTATCTGCATACATTATGAATGGAGGATAATTAGAGAGATTATGAAGATCATTTAGTACAAAACCAGAGGACGTGCTGCCTCAAATCCAGGTGTTCTGCTGTAGTGAACGGCACAGAGTCTCCTGTGATTCCTAGCACCACTATCTGCCACACACAAGATAAGGTCACACACTCTCACATGAACACAGTGTCTATTTTATAAGTAGATATAATTATAGTATTACTACAGGACATTAGAGGTTCAAATTGTGCCGTAGAGCAGGGATCTTTAGAGGGCCCACATCCACTGTTTTCACCTATGTCAGACCAACCTTTCACACAAGTTTTAAAACCCTCACACAATACACAACCCTTAGCTCACTTCAGTATACCCTGCGCTATACAAGCAAAGAACAACACATTGGTTGTATAATAATATGTCTTTTTCAACCCTTCTTTCTATCTCCAAAGCCATCTCTCACCACACCTTTGGTGGAATCTTTGAGAACAACGTCAGATATTTCAAACAGCTTCATCGGGAGGGGCATGTTCTTGTTGGCCGATATCGTCTTTAGTAACCCCTGGCAACAGCGTCGTCCTGGCAACCTGTAAACAAACCACCAGAAGAGTAATACGGGGTTAAATGAGTAGAACGGTAACTGTTGCGGATGTTCAGACCTGAAACTCTAAGGTTTTCGGGTTGCTGATGTGAACTGCAGGAATTGTTGCAAGTTCTTTTCGAAGACGAACCGACACATCGTCCCTCGAACACTGAAAATGAAACAGAGAGAGAGAGATCCCGGAAACCATCAAAATGAAAGAAAAAATTGATTTTGCTCACAAGTGCGAAGGTCAGTGCTTCCGTGAAACCAGCCTGTGCCACGCCCTCTCTCAGTTGATCTGAGAGCTTGTTTACTGGTAACTATGGCGACAACAATCAATTACCAAGGCAACTGGAAAAGCCACACCCACCCTTCCCCCCCCCGACCTGTTTGGCGACACATGAAGTCTTGGGCAGCGTCATGGTGATGTTGTTGAAGCCGTAGGCAATGGCCACGTCTTCCATTATGTCACATCCATGAAGAACATCTGTGGAACAAGAAGATACTTTTCCACAGAACAAGTTGAAAATACAACCAAAAGCTAGTCTAACTTGTTATGCTGCAGACAAAACAATTTTCACAGAAACCATTGACATTACTCACTGACTTCTAAATTTACATCTCATTTCCTAAGGCATTAGCAGCAAGATAAGCATAAGATCATTTGATATAATATTCCCCGTCAAGTTGCAAATTGCATATCTCCAGCTCCAAATTTATAGCACACAAAAAGTTCAAAAGATGGTTTGCAAACATTGATATTAGCTCCTAAGTTTCCTTTTGCATAAAAAATCATCCGCCGTTTTCTCATTCTTTCCTTGCACATGCAGACAAACCTACACATACCAGCTCTGGTTGGAGGAATTTCAATCTTGATGCTCTTGCCCCCTTCAATGACCTGACTGCGGAGACACATCTTAGTGAGGAGTTTCGCAATCGACTCCGCCCCCTCGTTAATACCGACACCTCTGTTGATGTCGCACACAGTCACAACTTCGTTTCTGTAGCGCAACTCCTAATAGTAAATGGAGGAGAAGGAGAAGAAAAACTACACATTTTAAGTTGCAAATGTGCATTTACAGATCTGCATTATGCAAAGACAGCAATTTGAGGGTGTCAATGATTTCGCATTTTTTGTGGGCACATGAGCGGGGTAAAAGACGACCCAACTATCCTTAATGCTTTGACTAAAGTTGGAGTATGGAATGGAAATGTCTTCTATCTTGCTGCACCTATCCCTATCTCGCCCAAATTTCGCTGTTCCCCTCCATATAAAGGGTTTCAACGATTTCGCATTTTTTGTAGGCACATGAGCGGAAAAAGAGACAACCCAACTATCCTTAATGCTTTGACTAAAGTTGGAGTATGGAATGGAAATGGCTTCTATCTCGCTGCATTTATCCCTATCTCGCCCAAATTTTGCTGTCTCACCTATATAAGTGGTGTCAACGATTTCGAATTTTTTGTGGGCACATGAGCGGAAAAAGAGACGACCCAACTATCCTTAATGCTTTGACTAAAGTTGGAGTATGGAATGGAAATTGAGAAGGAGAAAGACAGAGAGAAAGAAAAGAGGAAAAAGAAGATAAACTACTTACAGGATATTTCTCCACCATTCCGTCTGCCCTCACCACTTCAACACACTCAGCTCTATTCACAAGGCAAGAGAGAGATCACATGACACACGGTCCAAGTCACGTGACATATCACGTGACCAACTGACTCACGTGTAGGGAGTCTCGCAGTACTCACTGAACATCGTAACCAAAGTATCGAGGACAATCTTTGCCTTCAAGAAAAAATTAACCGAATATTCGATTTTCAAAACACGAACAGTTTTGCACCTATTACACGTATTTAATACCTTCTTCAAATCTGTGGCTGTACATTCTATGAGGACATTTCTTGTACTGAGCGAGATTTTGGAATGATCACCTGAAAATTAATGTCAACATTTCAAAAGTCACAATTTTGCAATTTCAAATGTTGACCAATCGTGCACCGTTTATAATGGGCGGCATGGAGAGGACGACCCTGTTCTTATCGTAGATAACGGGATAAACCGGTTTGTCTTGTATGATGTGCAGATAGTGACGGATATGACTGTCTTTCTAAAGAGAACCAATCAAAAGTGTACAGGAGAGGAGAGAGGGAGGAAGAGAAGAGGAGGGGAGTTCACCACCATTTTATATAATAGCAGAGGGGAAAAAACTCTTCACATATTTAGTATACCTTGAAAGCCTTATATACACTTCTCTCTCTGCAAAATTATGGACAGCACATTTTCTCCACTAATGCGCTGATAACTTTCTTCCTCAAACTACAATTAGCACTGTATGCCACCATTTTAACTCACAGAATAGAGATCCATTAGCTCAACAGCTGTGAACTCTCTGGTCTATAGGAACGCAGGGAGGGTGTTCGTTCAATTTAGGACAAACCACGGACCCCCCACCTGATTGAGGGGAACAAATTTTATCTGTTCGGGGGGCAAGGCCTCGTAGGTGAACGGTCCCTTTAGAGTGTCCAGGTCGTGGGTTCCTATGGCAACCAGACTACGTTTCCTGGTTACGTGATTGGAGATAATCACAGGGGTAAGTGGGAGAGAGTTTTACCTGCCGATGTTTTGATGCAGTTTGTCTTGTAGGTCTATGAAGCTGTTGTAACTAGCCTAAAAATTGAATGAAGTAAAACATACACTGGGAATATTTGCACTGCACACTCAAGATCAATATTCAAGGTATTCAAAAATGTTGGTTCCCCTGCATTTCCCTCACGTAATATTTTTTTAGTTTGCATGCACATTGCTACCTCATCGAGGTAGAAAATAAGAAATTTAGAACCCTCCTCCAAAATTTCCTGTTCTAATACCTACCTGAGTGAAGGCGATGTTTCTGAGGATTGCGGCAACCACAAACGGCCTCACTTGAGCAGTCTAGGAAAATCCAGCAGACAACAGACACTAATTTGCACAATAATGGAATAGTAGATATATTGGGATGTATACTGTAGTCGCCAGGGAGTAATTAAAGGGGGGGGGGTCGACTGACCACTTGCCACACATTCATTTCCAAAAGTCTATACTATGCATCTATTATACACATTTGCCTAAGTATATGCACTTCTGTAAAGCAGGGAGAAAGGAGGTGGGAAATATAAAAAGGAGGGTAAAACCCCCTGCTTCCCTGCTTTAGCTAAAAACCCTGGTAGTGTTTCAATTAGTATACCGCTGGTTTGACAAGAAGTCTGTGTGGCCGACTGGGCAACACTGCTTTGTACACAGGTGCTTCAATCCTTAGAGAAAGCGAGAGGGGAGGGAGGGTAGGAAGGGGGGGAGAGAGAGAATGGAGTCGAAGAGGGAGGGAAGGGTTAGGTTTTGTGGACGAAACTGGGAGACTTTCGCTCACTTTCTGAGGAAGACCAGTAGCCCACGCACCAGTCCCTCCATACACAGTAGATCATACCTGAACATTGATAGTGAGAAAAATCGGCAGGAAATGAGTTTACATTTGATGTGCATCAGCAAATAAGTTTCGGACGCATATAAACATATAAAGCCCATGTAAAACACTGAGTGTGACACCTGTTGGCTGGGATGTCTATCTTGTAGATGACTTGTTCGCTGGCTTTCTGATCGTTGGCCTCCGCCTTCTCTTCCCCCATCTCCCTGATCAACATCTCCTTCTCTGACGTCTAAGTTAACCAACCAATTTTAGAACTCTCTCTCTCTCTTCTCGAACATTCATTGCTCACCACTTCGTCCAGCTCTATCCCAAAGTCGAAACAGAGTTCATCAAATTCTTCATCAGCTGTAGGGACATAGAAAACGTAGTTTTACAGGCAAAGAAGATTGTTCAAGCTTACTGTACGTTTTCCCCAGCGCCTCGAAGAGGGCGTCACGCGGCACAGCTATCGTCGGCATCCCTCTTGGCGCTCGAGAAGGAAGAGCAGTTTACTCTAAATAATGCCCGCTACACGTGGTACTTTTGACCCCACCCCTCTATCTGGGGGTCAAAGGTTGTTGCCATAGTCATGGTGTGCGCGTGGGCGGGCAGGATTGCACCTACAAAAAACACGTGTTCTGCGCACTCTCCGTGTCTTTCGAAGAGCTGTGCATCCGGCCTACCCGATCTTTGTCTTTGTCTGTACACGAGATGCTGGGGAAAGGGCCCTCGTATTTGCTCAGCGACGTCCTGCACCTCCCGGAGCCCAGCGCGCGGTTCCTGCTCGCTCTCTACGGCGGTAAGTCGTTAGCTAGCTGTGTACTTGAGTCCATCCAGCTGCAATTAGTGCATGTGTTGTGCAAAGCAATGTAACATAAATATCCCAGGACGGACAGACCATATCCAGTTAGCTGTGTGAAGGCCTAGCTGCAGTACCATATGAACGGTGCTCATGCATACGAAGAGAAATGCGCCCAGCACCTTGTTGCATGTAGCTATGTACACCAGAATACCGACTACCTAACTGCCCGTGGCCGTATATACTTACATTACTGGTAAAGCTGCTGGTGCAAGAGAATACGTGGGGTATGAGAGTTTGTCTGCTGGACTTTATGGGTGAATGATCAACCCACAGCATATCTGTTCTCCTTCATCTACCGCTACTACGTCTCCAGACATGGAGCTGCCGTTCAGGTATGTATGCTTTCTGTCTCACCCTCTCTTCCTCTCCCATTCTCTCTTTCTCTCTCTCTCTCTCTCTCTCTCGTTCGGTCTGCTTAACTTTTTCTGCCGCATTTCTCAACTATTGCACTCTTTTTCTGCAGAACTTGTACTGGACAATGAGTGGTGTTTTGATGGTAGTATACATCTATGGTAAGTCACTCAAAACATAAAGTTGGGGTATCTAAAACCTGGCATTTACCCCACTTTGAATGTGGTGTATTCAATGTGCAAAGTGATCCCTTTGTCCCTTTATTTCTTTGCACAGGATGGGGTGTGTGGCACATGCTATTGGATACAGTGGCAGTATACTGTACTCTAAGACTAATTGGAGGGACCCTGTTATCTGTAGTCATTACCTGGCTTATCACAATGGTACGCTGTGAAAGATCTATATACATTTATAGTGGAACCCCTCTTTAATATGGACACACTTTCCTTCTGTCTCATTGGTGTCTAGATATAGTCAAACCAATAAGGAGATGTGTTTTTATGAGTGTGTCTCTTACTGACTATTGAAGCAGCAAAACCGATATTCCTCACAATTTCAACACCAATTCTTCTGATTTCTGCAGGGCCACTTGGTTGGTGGTTATCTGCACATCATGTACTCAAACGAGATCCATCCAATAGCTTGGACCATCCCTCACTGCGTTATGGTTCTCAAGATGATCGGTATACTAAACTGTGCTATAGTAGAAACCACAATCATACCTTGCATTTCTGTCAATTTATATCCCAGGACTTGCCTACAGTCTCTATGACGGTCGAAAGAAACAGGTGTGCATTGCATACAATACAGTTCTATAATATACGTGTTTTAAAAGCCACTTGTTGCACATGTATATAGGAGACGCTTGTCAGTGAAGACATTAGGAAAAATGCTGTCCACAGCGTTCCATCATTTCTCGAGGTAGGCAAGTCATACGTATGCTAATTTGTTGCAAAGAAGTAAATAAATAGTAAAATCAAAATAAATAGTAAGTATCGTAAAACCGACAATTTTAGTAAACAAGTGGCACTATAATAGAAAAGTTAACGTTTGGGACCTCAAAGTGTCTCCTTTATTCAGATGTTTTTTTCTTCTATTGAGTCCTACATTTGGAGTGTTCCGTATCAGTGTAATTACAGTGGTGATCGCTTGAATACCGACCGACCCACTGCAAAACTTACTGATTGATATTGCGTATTATCTGCAGGTTATGGGCTTCAGTTTCTTTCCTGGGTCTGTCTTGGCTGGACCTCAGGTAAGTACAAACAAATTCAATCCACAGCCTGAACTATTCACCCCCTCCTGGACCGGTGTCAGTATAGGATAGTTGAAATATGAAGTTTTTAAAAGTTACTAACTGTTTTTCCTGGTTCTGTCTGTACACAGCACTGTGTGTGTGCAGTGTTTTGCAGAGTTTTGTCAATGTTTTGTTTCTGTATGCGTCGTGTGTGTGTGTTTCTGTGTTTTATAGATGTGGTTTGTCCGCTATCGAGATTTCGTTGAAGGAAGACTCTTCGACTACCAAAAGACACCTAGTAGGTTAGAGAATGGACGATTCCAGTGTCAGCTTGTTCAATGAAGCTTTCTACCTACCTTCTAACGTACCTCCCCCACCCCCCCCTCCTCTCCTTCTCCTTCCTTCTTCTTCCCCTCCCTCACTCCCTCACTCTCCCTCCTTCAGTACATTTGCTGGAGTGAAGCGACTTCTCCTTGGTACAACCCTCTCCGTATTGTACGCATCTCTCAACAACTACTATCCCATTGAGTTTCTAGCTACCAAAGGTTTTGCAGTGAGCACCATGATATCTCCATTGTATAATACACACTTTAATTATTATACTTCTTGCATTCTTCTTGCATAACTGCAACACATTTTTGGCAAGCGAACGCAAACAGATCAATTTTTCACGCATGTGTTTATAAGCTGCTGAATATACTCCAAGCAAGATACTACAGCAACAACACTAGTGAAGCCTTGAACCACCAGTATGTACAATCGCACCCTAACACTGTGTGGTTTGTCGTACAACTCTCTCTAGTTTGCTTACTATTGAAACATGTAGTGTACGAGTAAACACTGATGGTGGTGCGGGCACTCGGCAACACTAATGTCAGCGAGACAATTCAATGCTACAAGCACTGATGACAAGGTTGCCTTGTGAACTTACTCTTAAACGGAACGTGGCAGTGTGTGAGGGCTAAAATTAGAAATTGTTACTAAAATCGAACACTCCTTCACTATGACCTGCTATCTTTAGTAACTTAGCCATTATGTACTGAGACCTTCCCTTTAAGCCAAGAAATGCTCTGATGGACGAACTTTACTAAAGGGTGTGTTATTATCATGCAGGATGAAATGTACATAAGGAAGCTTTGGCTGGTTTTCATCAGCGGGAAAGTGGTTCTCTGGCGATACATTGCAGTGTGGCTGATTGCCGTGAGCATTCCTGAAAACCACAACTGTTTGGGTGAAATCAGTACAACTCTCTTAATATCCAGGAGGGCTCCTGTATTGTGACAGGGATATCGTACAATGGGGAGACAAAGGAAGGAGAGGCTGATTGGAGTGGTCTGACTAATATTAAACTTTTCGACTTTGAGACTTGCATCACTTTACAGGTGTGTATAATAATTACCTTTTGACAAACTTCAATAGGCAAGTGGGAGTGAGGTAACTTAGTGGTCTGAATTGCACAATATACAATACCTTAGTGCATCACACATATGGTGTATGTTCGTTTGTTAATGGTTCCGCCCATTGCTCTGGGTGCGTGGTCTATGGCCCTAGTGCTATGGCAGCCACCTGAGTATTATTATTATTATTAGTGCATCACACTCTTCTTATTACGTATTACGGGAAAGGGTGTTTCAATATCATTAGTTTCGGTTTACTATATGCAGGGAGTTGTGGACTCTTTCAATATAAACACCAACAGTTGGATGGCACTGTAAGTTTATCAAAACTCTTATAGCATATATACTGTCAGTGTAATGGGAATGAAGATCTATTTGTATGTATGTACCATGATTCCAGGTACGTCTATAAGCGGTTGAAGTGGTTAGGGAGCAAGGAGCTGTCACTGGCACTAACTCTCGTGTTCATTTCCCTCTGGCATGGAATCTGGCCCGGTTACTACTTCAACTTCAGTCTGGAATTTATAGACCTTACTGCCGAAAGAACTGTTAGTATAATTATTATTATATCATTTAATCTCCTCTAGGTTTAGGCTGTTTAGCAAACATTTTTATTAGTTAAGGTCCCAGACTAAAGCATTTTCCACTGAAATATGCTGGTTTTGCCTGCAAAACGAGTCTGTCTGTACAAAAATGCTTATATATTTAGGGCAGCCATAAATTATGACATAATTACAAACACTGATTGACGTAATTACAATGAAAACTCCTGGGATAATGTGAATAGGTAGAGGTGTAAGTAATGGTTAATTGGGTGATAATCTTGGGGGTGTTATAATGAATGTTAGACTTTCATTTGTTAAAGCAAGAAGCTTGTCTAGGGAAGTAAAGGTGTCCTTATTAGACGTCCAAGTGTCTTCATTTCAGGGGTGTCCTTAGAGAGGGAGTATGGTTGGGGCAACATTTAGAACTTCTGCCTCTCTCTATATAGTTTCATCACAGGGCCAAAAAGCTCCTTGGTGGAGAGCTGTCAGATACTCCTGCTGTGGTTCGCGTCCCTCTCTCTCTGATTGCCTACTGTCTGAAGAACCTCATTCTCATGTACCCCACAACCCTCTTCATGCTCCTCAGTTGGACCCAGTGCTATGCCGTAAGACACGTTTGTATGATATAGCTACAGTATATAGAATCTCAAAATGTTGCACACGTATATATATATATATACAACAACGTAGATTATACTGCCTGTCAATTGATTTAGACAGCTGATGGGCCTGAGTTGTAGCTGTCGGCACAGGAAAATGCAACTATATAAGGGCCCCGAGGCCGTCTAATTGTGTTATTTCCATTGACTCACAGTATAACCGACTTAGACGCCTCTGAAAAGAAATACCTCTGTCGGATTGTGCCACAAGATCTATCCGCATGACATTGCAATGCAGCACAGCATGACGGGGCAAATGCAATATTGAAGCTTGCTTAAGACATCTTTTCTTCATTTTTTGGTCTCATGTATAATAGAGTACAAAAAATTAATACAGAACCTCAATATTTCGTGTCCACTTTATTATCTGTTATCTTTTATCTTACAGTTCATGAAAGCAGTGTATTTCTATGGGCATATCGTCCCGCTAGCCTGGATAGCGCTACATCAGCTCCTATCATGGCTAGAGAGAAGACGAAAGAGGCAAAAACTAGAATAGCTAATGCAATAGTACTAAGTAGCGAATCGACTTTCACTTATCATTTATTATTATCATGTTTAGATAACACTCATGAAAATGTGTTATAAAATAAGTTTGATGAACACAGTGATCACTTACATACGTAAGAACTCAAGATAGATAGGTATTATAAGAAAAGGAAAAGTGAATGAAGGTCAACACTAACTACTGGTCATATCAACCTCTTTTACTTGTGAGTCCATGAGTGCACCACTTGCCATCTCTGTCTCACAATCTTCCTCCTCCTTTCCTCTCTTCTCCGACGCAGGAGTTATTGGCGGTTCAAGTGGTGTAGCCAGAGGATCAGACATTCGCGGCGCACACTCAAGAAACTCCTCTGCCACCGGGACACCCAGAATATCTGAGACCATGTGAGCCTTCAACCAGACCGCAAGTGGCGAAGTCCCCCTCTTGTAGTGACTGCTCTTGTGAAAAAACAGCAACCCGTCCACTTCTAGCGGCCACGACTTGCTCAATACTTGTGCCATTGAACCCTCGACTCCAGGGTCTCGCCCGCAGGAGAACGAGTCAAGCGGTTTGAAGGCGTACGGATTGATCTTTGCGTGTTCTCCGACTCCTTTAGTCTCTGCAATTTTCGTGTGGAGCCAAAATGCTCTGAATTCGCGGTCCGAGTCATACACAGGATGACCTCCCCAGCACATGAGGTCAAGGACAAAGAAAGTTCTGGAAGGACTGTGCAGTATGCAGTCGAGAATACAGTAGTCACGCGGTGAATAGAAGGTCCTCCTGCACCTGAACGCGAAATTTCAGTGGTTTTACGTGTAATTATGTCTGAATAAGGGACACCTTGGGGACCTTCGGAGGAATCCTTTTCAGAGGTAATAGTATGGGGCAGAACCAAGCGTCCCTTAAAGAGGTGTGTTTTATTCAGAGGGTCCTTTGGGGGAGGTCTCACTGTAGGTAAAACATTACATGGACGTACCCGCCAGGAAGGAGGGAAGGGAAGCAGTTGATGAAGGCACCGATTCGCGAGTAGGCCAGGGTTGTTCTTTTGTTCGCAATGACGAGACATCTCTTCCCGACAGGGCACACGGTCATGAACCAATTGTCTGTGAAATCCGGCGGGACATCGACCAACCATTCAGACATCATTAGCTGGTTACGATAGGGGTGGACTCTTCGCTTCTTCTTTTCCCCCTCCTTCACATCCTATCAAAGACACGAAGAGGGGCAGCTACTATTGAAATAATCATGGGACATAAAAAGTGCCAGAGGTAGTACAATACAGTCATGTATACAGTAGTATGGGGCAGAACCATATATAGCTCGAGAGGGGTCTTTTCTGAGCATCGTCGTGTACGACGTCACGTGAAATGAAACTTACAGCGCCCGCCGCCGAAGCATCGTCAACATGATCTGGATCAATGTCCTCTTCTAGCTCTTCCTCTCCCATCTCCTCCTCCCATTCCTCTCCCTCCGCGATCTTCCGTACGTAGTCTGCGTGGTCCCTGCGACGGGAGCGTTGTTCATCTAACAGGCGCCGTCTACGGGTCTCTTGCTCGCCGTAGCCAGCGCGCTTGTGTTTGTAGAGCGAGGAGAAGGTCGGGTGAGGGCGCGTCGGGGCGTTCACATCACCTCCGACTGAGAAAAAGCCCTGAAACTGGTAGAGGAGAGAATCGTCCATCGTTGTGAGTGTCGAGCAGAGCTAGCAGCTATGTGGCTTGCTTGCTGCTCAGTTCAGCATGTTGCAGCGAGTTTCGCTGACTCAACAATTGGGCGGGGCCCAATGCTCTTGCGCGCATGCGTAATGTATTAGGGGGTGGGGCGGAAAATTCACGTTGCAAAGAGGGTCTGGGGTTGAGAGCTGTTCTTACAGAGTCCTGTAGTGGGAGTCCAGAAAGCAAACAAAGGGAATGCACCCGAAGTGCTCACCAGAAGTGGCCGAAGACTACTTCGGCCGCGACGAGACCTTCTGCCCGCGTCGCGTCAACTGCACGGAGCTCCTCCAGCTCGGCGGCTACGAAACGACCGTCCAGGAGCAGTGGCCGAGCATAGTGGCCATCGTCTCGTGCACGCTCTCGGTGCTGGGGAGTCTACTCATCGTCTACACGTACGCCCGCTGGAAGGATCTCCGTACTGGATCGCGTAGCATCGTCACCTACCTCGCTATCGCGGACCTGGTCACGGCGCTGGGGTACGTAGCCGGCTCGGCCAACTACATCTTGAACTTTGGGAGTCGGAGTAACACGGAGCAGTGCAGGGCGTTCGGCACGGCCTGTCAGATCCAGAGTTTCGTTACTACAACTTCCAGTCTATGCTCGTTTGCCTGGACGCTTTTCCTAGCAGTCTACCTCTATCTGGTCATTGTCAAAGCTAAACTGGTTCTCGCAAATAAACTGATACCACTTTTTCACGTAGTCGCCTGGGGAGTACCTCTTCTGATTACTCTGCCCCTGTTGATTATGGGAAAATTGGGATACTCGCCCTACTCAGCTTCAAACTGGTGTTTCATAAAGGATTCACTGCCGCACAATGATCGAAAGTACGCCTGTGGCCACCTGAACTATGAGCAGCTGCTTCTTGCCTTAGTCGGTGGAAAAGCATGGGAGATTACTACTTACGTCCTAGTCATTGTGCTATATGCAGCTATGAAGTGGCACATCCATAAAGAGGTAATCTATAAACGTAGGAAACAAATGTATAAAAGCCCCTAAGCCGCTTTTTGCTATTCACATTTGCTGGTGCCTTAGCTTAAACGTTTCATGTTTGCCTTGCGCAGGTGTATGTGGGTGTTTTTTTTTTTTTTGTTGGTATATAGAGGTACTGGGGAATCCTTTGAAATTTTGACAACAACCACGATGTGTAGAAAACACCGACCATAGCCTAAATGCTCAGTTTTTCATAGGGGATAGCAGCATCTTTTGCTTCTCTCCGCAGACAAGAGGAGCTGGTTCGTATCAGCTTGTTGGAGAATCCACAGTATCGGCCATGCAGAGAGCAGACAAGAAGCTGACTTTTATTCCGGTTGTGTTCATATTGCTGAGAATCTGGGGCACAGCGCAGTTCCTTTACGCTACATCCGTCTACAACCTGATGTACTTAGGGTGTGTCCCAAATGAATATGCAGCAGGATTCACCTTTCTTGCCTACGTGCAAGTGAGATAGTGGATCGAGTGTTATGTATGTCATGTGTAGTGGGTTTCCAAAATAAGAGAGTATAAGATAACGGAGCACCATTAATGGATAGTTTATTGTTACATAATGTAAGAATTATTTGGAGCATTATGCCGGCCTTCTCTCTAGCTACTCCATCTCCCTCTCCTCTCTTCTTTGCTCCCTGCTTTGTTTGCCATACATTTTGATGTATAATATACAGTGGAACCCCCTCTCCATGGACACTATGAAACGAGGACACCTTTTATTTCCCTAGGACACTCTTTGAGGGGATTCTATTGTTGGTCTACTATCCTTCTATTCTATTAGGCATTTGGAGATGGTGGACAGGGCTGGGGAAATGTTCTACTCTACATTATATCCTCCCCAAAGATCCGAGAGCGGCTTTTCTACTGTGCTTGCCATCCGAGTTGGAAAAATCTGACAGGACTAAGCAGAAGTGGTGCTAATGGTGAATTCCCCAACCTTTTTCCGTCTGGCCAACACTTGGAAGGGAGAGAGTCTCGTGTTTCTGTGAATGACACAAACTAGTTTTGTGGCTGCTCAATGACAATGTATTATTGTTGATATACGCATGCGCGAACCTGCAGCCACGCCCACAACTTGATTGGCTGCAAAGCTCGGAGGGGGGGACGAGGCTAAGTTTACAGGTGAAGCTACTTCCCACACGCGTCCTACTGCCTTCTCAGTGCTTTGACGTGAGGGGAACGTCACTGCGCGCAAGCCACGTAAGTTAGCAATTAGCCAGTAAAACCGTCAGATGTGCCGGCACAAACACACCCTGCGTGCCCTCGTATTTTATTCACTCTACGGCTACACGTTCCTGTGTCATGAAAAAACAAGATAGTTAGTTATCCAGCTCTTGTCCATGCGCACACGCTCACTCTGCATTCACAGCACTATGAACGCCGAGTTGGAAGCCTACAGTTGGGGGAATAATAACACTGCTACCTGCGATTCTACCCTGGAGCGTCATACTTACACAGTGTACATCACCATCGTCTCATCATGCCTCTCAATGATAGGGTGCGCCCTAATCATCCTTACCTACATCCTCTGGCACGACATCAGAACGGTCGCCCGAGCTATTGTCGTGTTTTTAGCAATCGCTGATTTCTTCACGGCGGCAGGCTACCTTTTCGGAGCGGTTGTAAACTACGTTAATAAACAGAAACATCTCGATCGCAGTGTCTACAGGTACCTCTGTTCTTCTCAAAGTTTTATTACCACGGCTTTTCCGATCAGCTCGTTTCTATGGACAATTCACCTGGCCGTTTATCTCTATGTAGCGATTGTCAACGCTAAACCAAATCTCGCCAAAAGACTAGTTATTGTGTTCCACATTACCGGGTGGGGTATACCCCTGCTAATTTGTGTTCCGGCTCTACTTACCGGTCATCTAGGGAGCAGCAATGAACGGACCTCAGTCAATTGGTGCTTTATCTATTTTAACAACACTAACCCTGGAGACAATGGCGAACTGAAGCGTCGTTTGGCAGAGTATTATGGATTCGAGTTTCTGTGCGGAAAGTTTTGGGAGATTTCGGCGTCAGTTATTGCAGTGTTTCTGTACATTTCAGTCAAAGTAGTGTTAAGGAGAAGAATGGTGAGTTTTTAAAGTGTAGTGGGGAGAAGGGGGAGAAAGGGGCAAAGAAATCAATTGAATAGACAGATAATATTTTAAGAAAGTAGAAAAGAGAGAGTTTATAATGATCATGGGTTCTATACTGTACAATAATTACTACATTTCCATGCACAAGACCTCTGTGATGCAGGTAACCCAGTGAAGAAAACTATCTGTGTCAGCGCTTTACGCACTTACATTACCCTCATGTCTCCCTTATGAAGCCTCCACTGTTGTATATTGATGTATATAGAGCCAGCCTGTGCAGATAGCAAGAAGCGCCTACGGAAGTGTCAATATAGAGAGGAAGCTCACAGCGGCCATGATCCATCTGGACCAGAAACTCATCTTCATCCCGCTGGTCTTCATCTTTCTCAGATTCTGGGGCACTCTGAGATTCTTCATCTCGTTTGAGAAGTCCTGCCACACTCCCTGTGACGACAAACTGATTGTAACACATCCCTGCAAGGCCGCGCTGTACAATCAATTCCTTATGGTGATGCAGGCAGCGTGCGATCCCGGGCAGGGCTGGGGCAATGCTCTGGTTTTCGTTGTCTTTCACAAGACCCTATTCAGGAGACTGTGTCCCTGCCTGTTTTACGTTAGCCGGAAAATGAGAGACTTTTACCAGTGCAGTAAGGCCCGTTCAGAGAATCCAGCAGTGATATCTTCTTCAAGCGGAAGAAAAGAGTCACCTCTTATCAATGACGAAGATGATGGACATCACACGCCATTACCGAGCGATGAATGTGACAAACTCACTGGATCTGTTAGGTTCGGATCAACCCATTCATCTACTCGCATGTGAACCCTGAAATAAATGTCTTAAATGGTTTTTGCCCCATTCAGATTGGCATAATGAATGTACTCAATGGAGCCCTCTCACTGCTCTGTATTTTTTTAATGATGCATCTTTGTCCCTGTTATTTTTACAATATTCCGTCTGATTTTATGTATCTTTCATAATGGCTGTGCAAACTATAATTATTCATGGTGAAATATAAACACGCATGTATGTATAAGGAAACCCCAAAATACCGGCGGGCTAATCGGTCTGATGAGATAGTGATGCGGCGTCCGACAATTCTTCACGTCCCCTAACTCTGCTTTTGGCGGCATCTCCTGGTGTCTTCACTGCAGTACAGAACACCCCTGGTGGGTAATCACTTACATTATCTGTGACTATCATAGCTCCATACGAGGAACTGGAATCGGTTCTCTTCAAGCCCGCCTGCTCCCGGTCAATGTAGGCAACACTTCCATTTAGTGCCTCTCGTTCGCTATTGAGACCGTCATTAACGCTTGGATCGTTGATTGAAAATCTCGAATAGCCACTCAGTTGTACACCGCAAGCACGGCCGAGTGCCTGCAGTTGAGAGCAGCATCCGGTGATGCATTCGCAGATGAACCACATTCTGATGGTTGGAGAGAGGAAGATGTAGAGAATCGCATTGCTCCAGCCTTGACCACTGTCTCCAATTGCCTATTGTGTATATAGAGAAAAGACATCATCATGATGATAGCATAACAACTGCACTATTTCCAATAGCCTTTTGAGGAGTGAGGCGAGATCATCATAATATCCTTGTTGTGGATCAGGTATATAAGCCCTTGCACTTTAGCTATTGACTATACCTTCAGTTTACAAAATGCCATGACCTGGCAAACTGTTTCAAGTTCTTGGGACATAAATTCGGAGAAAAATACTGTGCACGTGTTGTATATACAATAGTGACCATTTTTGCCAAACAGCATTTATGCAAAAGTCACAGTTTACTCGCTTTCTGATACAAACAATCAAACGATACTTCAGCCGGTTTACCTGCATTACGCCGAGCCACAGTAGAACTCTGTACTTGGTCTTGGGGATACATTGTTCAACGTGGGCAGAGCTGGTGAGCGAGAGGGAGTAAAAGAACTGGATAGTGCCCCACAGTCTCAACAGCAGGAACACAATAGGGATGGAGAGGAGTCTCAGCTCCACGCGTTCCTGGCTCATCCGAGGTGCACCATTCTGGGCTACAGAAAGCCTTCGCCGAGACTGCACAAGAAAAACAATGAAACCATTATGCTCTGTTGTGCAATGTAGGTGCTGACCCTGTATATGCTGATGGAGATAGATATGTAAAGGATTGTGACTAAAATGTAGCTGAGGATCTCCCAGAACTTCCCTGCAACCAGCACGAGGATAATAAAGAGGTCTTTTTTGATTGAGTGTTTCTGCGAGTCCCTTATGAAGCACCAATTCGCAGTGCTGAATGGAGTGAACCCGAGGTGCTTAGTACACAGCAGAGGAATGGTGATGACTAGAGGGACACCCCACGAAATGAGGTTGATGAGGGCAAAGGCCTTCTTCCCAAACAACAAGGACTGCTTGTTGACGATGACGACGTGAAAATAGACGGCCAGAAAAATGGTCCACAGAAACGAGCAGAGACTCGAGGTGGTCGTTATGAATGACTGGGCCTCGCAAACAGTCTCGAACGTTTCGCAGTTTCTCTTGTCTCCCTTTTGCTCGGACGTCCTGTAGTGCTGGAGAAAGTTGATGGCAGCGATGAAGTACCCGAAGGCCGTGAAAAAGTCTGCGATGGAGAGGAGGGTGATCAGTTTCTGAGCTCCAGTGCGGATCTCCGGGAGCATGAGGAAGGCGAGGATGATGAGGACGGAGCCGAGACAGGAGAGGGAGCTGGAGGCGAGGGAGGCATAGCTGGGAGTCGTGCCGATGCTGAAGCTGACGTTGTCGCCCGTACAGTTGAACTCTTGCGGACACTCGCTGTCGTTGTAACGCATGCCGTCTTGCGTCCGACGACTCTTCACCCTTGAAGTACGTGTAGGTAACAATGCGCATTGCTGAGCCCGTACAATTATAGCTAAATGTGCAAGCCACTCCCTTCTCGATTCATTGCAAACATGAAAATTGGAGATGTAAACACCAAGTGAAACAATATGAGATTATCTCTTATGTATGAGAACCTCTGCATCTACAGCTGAATCTTCATCAGTTGAAATCGAATGGTAGCTATAGTCTTGGAAGACACCTGACTGCCATTGGTAGTTACTTTGTCACCATTACACCGACGATTTTTGCTATTAGCTACCACTTCTAGCACTCGTAATCTCCGCTGGCAGTGGCAGACATCACATTTACTAGAGTGAGCAGTGTGTGGTGTGTCGGTCTCTCTATGGCTTTATCAATAAAGTTATTACAGGGGGTCGAGGATCAGTCGTCTCCTGATTGTGGGCGAGAGGAAGATGTAGAGGATTGCATTGCACCAGCCTTGAGCTCCAGCCCTGTGATCTGTGAATCATTAAAAAGTGTGTGTTTAGACACCTCACTATTATAATAGTTAATAATTATGGACATAAATTATAGTCCGTCCCACTGGTTTTATAGATTAGAGTTCCACTTTATTTTACCTGCACACCGAAAGAACGTTACACCTTTTATCATCGCTATGTTGAATATCACGTCCACGACTTTCAAATTCAATGTAGATACAGAACACATAAATATTGGCCTTAGCTTCACCTTCGATGTTTTCTCCATATCAGGGTTACCACATATTTTAGGGACGGGGAAGTATTTAGTAGTAGCCATAACCTTTTTTTACTGACATCGTTTCTGTTGCCTAACCTGAAAGTACCCAAAAAGGCGGAAAGTCAAGTGTATTGGGTGGGACACACATCCCTCAGAGATGGAAACTGACAGAGAGAAGAAGAACTGAAGAAGACCACATTCTGCAGACAATACAGAGGATGGGAATGGGCAAAAGTCTTTTTTCGACTTGACCAACTGTGGTAGTTGTATTCATCTTCTTCACTTTCTGCATGTGAGTGTGTGCATAAAATGACACCCCTGCATATACAAAGAACTTAAACAATTCTTGTAAAAAGGCACTTTCTTCTGTGCATACTTACAACGGAATCCTTAATAGGACATGGTGAAATGAGGGGAACCTCTCTATAAAAAACCCAGGGCATTGCAGATAGACAAAGGTAGGGGAAATTGCTATATATTATGATCCCGGACAAAAACAATAATGCTCTTTTTAGAACTTTCGAAGCCCCATGCAAAACAAGATGCAACAATTGTGTGTTATGAGTGAGTCCTTCGTGTTACTATTTCCTCTCGCCGGGACTTGGAAATATATATATAACACAGCACTTCCCCCCAATTGAAACTGTTGAGTAGAAGAAAAGCAAACAAATCGGACATAACAACTTACATGGGAAACTTTGAGGTGATCGCAACATAGAACACAGAATGTCCAGCTGCAGCACTTGCAACACGTGGGTGGGGCTTGTTTGTTTACAAACCACGCACGTGACATTTACGCGCATGCGCAAATCTGATTCTGCCCGATCGTCGTACACACACTCGTGTGGCTACTTCATCACACCACAGACAAAGGGAGCCGCGCGGACAAAGACGCCAGCACCCGGACAGACTCTCTCTCCCCCATCCCGGACGTCTCTACTCGGCCTACGGAAAGGAACTGGTGCGCTGCGGACCCAGACACACTTCACAGTGGCGTCCCTTCGATTATAGTAACACCCCCCGGACTGCCCAGCTGGAATAGTGGCACCGATACCGTAAGTCTTACGGTTTTCTGTGTTTTTCTCTGAGGTCCCGACCATCTCTAGTGCGCTTGGCATTATACTTTAGCCGTTTGTCTGTTTCTACGGCAGTGGAGTACTGTTGTGTTTTACCAGCACACAAAGCTCCGCGTGGTATCTTACCTGGCTACTGTAGCTATGGGAAAAGACGCCAGCCATGTTCTTACGTAACACACTGTAAGAGTGAGTAACCAGCTTATAAAGGTGGTGTATGAACTCCGATTGTACAAATTGCTGGGCTCCCGCAATAAACCACTGGCATCTGGACAGGTGTGTTTGTGTGTGTGTGTGTGTGTGAACACATCATATCTTTGAGGCTTGGTTCTAAATACCGTCAAAGGAAGTGAGGATTTGGCTGGAGCCTAGGAGGCAGTTTTGACCAGTTTTTCGAGCCGAAACTGGGGATCTTTCGGAGGCAGTTTTTGAGTTTTGTCTGTGAAGAAATTTAGGGGTTAATGAGGTAAACCCTCGGAATCAAAGGGGAGAGTTGTCCTGGAGCATCTCCTACTCCGCCCAGCACCATAAAAACCTCGAAAGATTCTTCAATTGTCCGGTAGGATGATTCGTTTACTATTGTCTCCTGTGATTGCCAGGGTTTCTTGAAATTGGCTATCTTTTGAGTGGTTCGAGCTGCCCTGAGCCGGTTCACCTCCCCTTGTTTGTTTGGATGTCTTATCTTCCCACCATTATCAACATCAGGGTGTATGTATATAAGTATGTACTGTGTCTATGGTCAGTGGCATAATAATATGTTGCAAGCATACTCTGACATACTGTGGCTTTATTGTGTGCTGTATGCTTCCCACACGGACACTAGACAAAACTTGGCTGTCAGAGTTTTCGCCTTGCCAATCCTTGTAGGAGGGGGCATTCAGGAATGTCTTTTTGTCGTAGTATTTTGTCTTATTCAAGTTGTTTCCACTCACCTTTTGCCACTTTCTTTCGCTCTTTCCCTTTCTCCCTTTTCTGCTATCTCTCCGCTTTACTCTTGCTCCCCTCTTCTTCCCTCTCTCGTTCTTATTCCAACACGCTCTCTCCTCCCTCCCTCCTCCCTCCTCTCTCCCCTGGCCCCTCCCCCTCCCTCCAGTGGTGCTACTAAGACCCTGCAAACGGACAAGCCATGGAGAACGGTGAACAAGAGCACGCCGAGGAAGCCCAGCCGACCTATGCTGAGGCGTTCCCTCCCCTGATGCGGGCCGGTTCTCCCCCAAAAGTGTCCTCACCACATTCGGCATGGCCTGTCAAGCCCATTCGTAGCTCTACTATGACCCAGGTATCAACGTACAGTCACATAGACATAACACGTGGAGTATAAACGTGTTTCTAAAAGAGAGGTTGAGGCATTGAATTTTATGATTTGCATGCGGAAGTTACCCTGTGATGACAGAAGATTGTGACGTGCAAAAATGCTATATAATAATTATGTAAATGTGTAAGTCCAAAACTTACAAATTTTATTGTTTACCCTCCTTTTTTTTAATCCCCCCTCCTTTTTTCTTTCCCACTTCCTTTCTCCCTGCTTTACAGAAGTGCATATACTTAGGCAAATGTGTGTAATAGATGCATAGTATAGTCTTTTGGAAGTGAATGTGTGGCAAGTGGTCAGTCGACCCCTCCTCTAATTACTCGCTGGCTAAAGCTCTGAAGACTACACACGAAACCATTGCCTCTCTTTCTACAGGTGTTCCACGTCCCTCTCGAGGAGCGTCGCTACCAGTTCGAGGAGGTCTCGTTTGGCGGTGAAACCCGCCAGTCGGAGATCGTCCGAGAGATTCAGGAGAAGACTGGCTGCGATATTGAGATGACTCAGGTCCATACTTACATGTACTGCAGATGAGGCAACTTTTGAATTACTAAGGAAAAACATTTACGTTTCGAAAGTTGTTAGTCATTTTAAAGATATGCGGATAGGATAAACAACCCATCCCCCTCCCCCCTATGCATCTACCACGTGTGCAGTGGGCATTATTTGGAGAGAGTTAAATAGTTGCTTAGTATTTTCATCGGTGGTTCTATTTTCCTTGGTTTCATCCCATTTTCTCACAGTTTGTTCACAGTTTCTCACCTCCCTCCCTTCTCCCTCGTGTCTCCTCTCCCCATAGACAAAGGACAAGGGGCTGACAATCATAGTGACTGGTCGCCAAACAAGTGTAGCTACCGCCAGGAGAGACCTCCTCATCAAGCTACAGACCCAGGTTACTATATTTAGTCATTACATCACCAAATGAGCTATCTTTAGTTTCAACTAACTTGCCCTACACCCATGCTACTATTTTATCTAAAAGAGCTATCTTTAGTTGAGTATTGTGGCTTTCTGCAGGCTCATTTTGATCTGAAAATCCCAAAGGAGCACCATCGTTTTGTGATCGGACGCCAGGGAGAGAAACTGAAGACCATCGAGTTACAAACCGCTACAAAGGTGCAAGGTTCACCACCGTACAATCCACACCATATGCCCACAATATACCAATGAGTGAAAGTGGAGTGAGGGGTGTGAAAGAAAGAGTGAGTGAAAGAAGTGAGGAATGGGGGAAAAGAAATAAAGAGAAAATTCTTGTGGGTGTGAAAGAAACTAAAACTAGAAAAGACTCTCTTTGACAAAAACATGCGTGAAGGACTATTTTGTCCATTGTTGTAAAGGACGGTGAATGAGAGAGAATGTAGTGATATTTATAGTGGTTTTTTCCAGATCTCCGTGCCTCGTTCTGAAGACCAGAGTGACATCGTGAAGATTGTGGGCACCAAGGAAGGAGTGGACAAGGCACGTCACATTGTCCAAACCATCTCCGATGAACAGGTTGGGAAAAATCGTCACCTCCTGCTCTCCCTCCCCCCCTCCTTTCTCCTCTCTCTCTCTCTCTCTCTCTTTCGTCCTTCCTTTTCCTCTTTACTTGTTTCTTTTCTTTGCATGTTGTCAGAAATGTTTCGGGGAAAATGGATTCATCGATGCATTAACAGTAACTCAGTTTAGTAGACAAGGGACCGTTTAGTATCCCAAACCGTGCCTCACTCAATAAAAGCTGTAAAATTGATCCCAAGGAGCTGAAGGCTGGCTGACCAATGTCACCTTCCCCCCATGTCTTACTTTCAATGTCTTGCAGCTTTTGAGCATCCTTGTTAACCTGAAACGTTAGAGTGCAGATGTGTTCCTAGTAAACCCATTTGTTGCCTTCTTCTTCATATCCTCTTCTATTCATATGATTGGCAAGGGAGGGCATCTCATTGTGCTTATAATACAGTACATTTTCTACTCTTGAATGGCCATTGTATGTACATAGTATATTGTACTGTGATCGTAAGAGTCCAAAAAGATTATGCTCAATGCATTTCTCATGCTTGCTTGCCAAGAACTGTTCCTTTGAGCCTTAGTACTGTACATATACTGTGCCATATACTGTGTCTACCTTAGTAATGTACATATATATACTGTGCCATATACTGTGTCTACCTTAGTACTGTACATATATACACTGTGCCATATACTGTGTCTACCTTAGTAATGTACATATATATACACTGTGCCATATACTGTGTCTACCTTAGTAATGTACTTATAACTGTGCCATATACTGTGTCTACCTTAGTTAACTGTGCCATATCTGTGTCTACCTTAGTATGTACAATACACTGTGCCATATACTGTGTCTACCTTAGTAATGTACATATACTGTGCCATATACTGTGTCTACCTTAGTAATGTACATATATACACTGTGCCATATACTGTGTCTACCTTAGTAATGTACATATATACACTGTGCCATATACTGTGTCTACCTTAGTAATGTACATATATACACTGTGCCATATACTGTGTCTACCTTAGTAATGTACATATACTGTGCCATATACTGTGTCTACCTTAGTACTGTACATATACTGTGCCATATACTGTGTCTACCTTAGTAATGTACATATTATATACACTGTGCCATATACTGTGTCTACCTTAGTAATGTACATATACTGTGCCATATACTGGTCTACCTGTATGTCATATACGTGCATAACTGTGTCTACTAGTACACTGTGCCATATACGGTACTAGTAATGTACATATACACTGTGCCATATACTGTGTCTACCTTAGTAATGTACATATACTGTGCCATATACTGTGTCTACCTTAGTAATGTACATATACTGTGCCATATACTGTGTCTACCTTAGTACTGTACATATACTGTGCCATATACTGTGTCTACCTTAGTAATGTACATATACTGTGCCATATCCTGTGTCTACCTGTAATGTCATATATACATGTGCATATACTGTGTCTACCTTAGTACTGTACATATATACCCTGTGCCATATACTGTGTCTACCTTAGTACTGTACATATACTGTGCCATATTATACTGTGTCTACCTTAGTGTAGCATAACCAACTTCTTGTACTGGACAACTACAATTGACTGACATGTACACGGCTACAGCTACACCTATTGATAACTCCTTTCTCCCTGTATGGCGAGCCATGCATTGTGCCATGCATGTGAGCAGGGCCCTATGAATGGAACCCCTCTCTAAAGACACCTCTTGAAATGAGATCTCTTTTCCCCAAGAATAGTTCTCGCGTGCAATAACCCATTAAAAGTGCATAAGGACACCTCACTAATATGTGGACATGTTCTTATGGTGTCATTGGTGTAAGGGTTAGAGGAGTTCCACCGTCTCTTCATTGTCTGCAGGCTAAACTGGCATTCGAGCGTCTGGATATCAGCAAAGATTACCACCCCTTCATCTCCGGACCAAACGGTGCGACGGCCAAAAGGATCATGGAGGAGACGGGCGCAAGGATCAACATCCCACCTCTCTCGCTAATGAAGAACGAGATGTCGGTTGCCGGGGACAAGGACGGCGTCGCTAAGGCCGTGGCTGAGATACAAAAGATCCATGCGACTGTTGTAAGCGAGACGGTAATTGTAGTGTAGCAAATTTACCGTTTGTATGGTGCATTGTAGGGTGTTCAAGTGTGCAGTAATAATCCTAAAGGCACTATAGAGAATGAACGGTTTTAGTGTAATGGTTGATTTTTTAATGCAATTGCATACATACAGTAAAGTGTGGCGTTAAGCGTGTATAGTACTTCCGATAGTAATCATGCATTCTGCTTAACCACCTCTCTCTCTCTCTACTCTCTGTTCTTCTCTCTCCGACAATTTTCCAACAGAAGCGAACGATGTCGTCCGTTTCTGTCGAGGTTCGAAAGTCCCAACACAAGTACATAGTTGGACCTCGAGGTGGCGGACTCCAAGTGAGTGGGAATGTGGCGTTACGTAAGGGCTAAATTTAGAATATGTTACTAAAACGGTAACAACACAAGTACATAGTTGGACCTCGAGGTGGCGGACTACAAGTGAGTGGGGATGTGGCGTTACGTAAGGGCTAAATATAGAATATGTTACTAAAACGGTAACCTAATTGGATTCTTACGCTGGGCCCTATGGTTTAGTTCCACCCCCTAGTTAGTTTTGTAATCTCACCGTGCAGGAGATACTGGGCAACTGTGGGGTGTGGGTGGAGGTGCCGAGTGCAGAAACCGACTCCAACACCATCACCCTCAGAGGACCGCAGGAGAAACTAGGACAGGCTCTGACACAGGTGAGAACCTCTCCTTCTCTCCCCATTTTCTCACATTCCCCCCCTCCTTACTCTTTTCTATGTAATTCCCTTGCTTTCCCCTTTTCTTACCTCAATTGGTGAGCCTATGAATTGCTGGCTTTTTACTGTATATAGCATACAGTGATGTCGAGTTATTTTACGTGATTCTTGCGATGTCGCGTTATTTTACGTGATTCTTAAGTATGCATAAGCTGCACACTCAGTTTCGCTCAGCAACATTGCATTGTGCATATGTATATGTATTCGTCTTCTCCCCCTCCCACCCCCCACACACACACCCTCATTCCTAGGTGTACGAGAAAGCTAACAGTGTTGTGACCGAAGAGGTGTACGCCCCACGATGGCTCCATCGATTCATCATCGGCCGAAAGGGACAGAACGTTCAGATGATCACCAAAGATCTTCCCAAGGTTAATTACACGACCAAACAAAGCAGTGACAAAATGAGCATACACACACATTTGTAATATACCTGGAGATACAGTTGGTCGGATTTTAGTTTTGTTTTTTTGACCGAAATCGAAACTTCAGCTTGTCGTGAATATGTAAAAATTATAGTAGCTGCTATTACGTATAATTTCTCATCTCTAACCGTGAGTCATGTTTTATCTGGATGCTGCTGGCTCGTTGTTTACCAGGTTCACGTTGAGTTCAACTCCGACTCGGATAAGATTGTTCTAGAAGGTCCTCCGACCGAAGTCCAACAGGCCAAGGAATCCTTCGAATCATTCACTGAAGACCTGGTATGTACTCTGCACGGTTGTGATGTAATAATGATGTCATAGTAATTTAAAATCGATTATGTCATAATTACATAATCTCATGATGACACTGTAGTGATTTGTCATAATTGTTTTGTGATGTATTGATGATGTCATCATCATTGTTAGATGGCAACAATGGACTATGCCGAGATCAAAGTGGACCAGAAGTACCATCGTCATGTGATCGGCAAGGGAGGAGCCAGCGGTGAGTCAAAATGAAACTGAAACTGGCTATTTTGAATGGGATTTTCATAATTTGTATGTTGCATCCTTTCTGGGTGCTAAACCGCAGGTGGTTAGTTGCCCATACCCCATAAGTAATGGTAGACCTGTTTTCCACGTAATGATCTGTGGACATGGTTTGCACTGCACTCTCCAGCTTTAATATATATTTACTCAGAATTTTGGTCGTCCTGTCCTTCCCTCCACTTACTTGCTAAAAGTACAAAAGGTTTAGGCCACCCTATTTTCTGCTATCACACTGCACACTCCAGCTATAGTGAGGCTATTTAGGATGGTTGGTTGACCTGTCCTTCTCCCCACTTACTTGCTAAAAGTACAAAAAGTTTAGGCCACCCTATTTTCTACTATCACACTGCACACTCCAGCTATAGTGAGGCTATTTAGGATGGTTGGTTGACCTGTCTTTCCCTCCGCTTACTTGCTAAAAGTACAAAAAGTTTAGGCCACCCTATTTTCTACTATCGCACTGCACACTCCAGCTATAGTGAGGCTATTAAGGATGGTTGGTTGACCTGTCCTTCCCTCCACTTACTTGCTAAAAGTACAAAAGGTTTAGGCCACCCTATTTTCTACTATCACACTGCACACTCCAGCTATAGTGAGGCTATTTAGGAAGGTTGGTTGACCTGTCTTTCCCTCCACTTACTTGCTAAAAGTACAAAAGGTTTAGGCCACCCTATTTTCTACTATCACATTGCACACTCCAGCTATAGTGAGGCTATTCAGGATGGTTGGTTGGTTTATCCTTCCCCCCAACTTGCTTGCTAAAAGTACAAAAAGTTTAGGCCACCCTAACGATCACACTCCAGATTGCAGGTAATCGGGATGGTTGGTTGGCCTGTTCTTCCTCTCATTTGCTCGCTAAAAATGCAAAAACATTGGGCCACCCAATTCCACTGTACTAGTGATGCGAAATTCAGTTCTTCCATTCCGCAGTGAACCGGATCAAAACCGAGACAGGAACGTCCATCATCATTCCGCCTGACAACGAACACAATGACGTCATTCGCATCGAGGGAGACCCTAAAGGAGTGGCAGCTGCCAAGACCATGCTTCTGGAGCTGGCTACAAAGATGGTGAGCTGCGTCGTGTGGCGCCGTTGGGGAGTTAGTATAGGGTTGAATGTGCTATATAGCTCTAGCTTTGTTTCTCATGTGACTATCATGTGCTCCAGTTGTTTTTCTCATGTGACTATATCACTCTGACATGTATTGACATGTGACTATACATATATATCACATGACTCTCACATGTATTGCATTTCTAGGAGAACGAGCGTTCGAAGGACATTCTCATCGACCAGCGTTTCCACAAGCAGATCATCGGATCGAAGGGAGAGAAGATTCGCGAGATTCGGGATCGTTTCAACGGAATTCAAGTCTCCTTCCCGGAGCCCAGCGAGAAGAAGGACATCGTTACTTTGAGGGGACCGAAACAGGACGTAGAGAAATGTGCTGTACACTTGAAGAAGATGGTTGCTGATCTGGTGAGTGGGGAGGGAAGGAGATAGAACGGAGGAAGAGAGAAGAAGTAAAGGAGGGAAGGAGAGGAAGGGAGGAAGAGAGAAGAAGTAAAGGAGGGAAGGAGAGGAAGGGAGGAAGAGAGAAGAAGGGAGAGGGGAAGGGACTGATGTACTGTGATGCTATGCATTGGTTGGCCTTGGTTCCAGGGCATGGCTGTCCCAAATTAAATTGTCAGCCATCACTTTTACTGTTGAGTGCTCTAGTATATAGAACACCCCCCTCTCTTGCGCCAGTGAATAGAAATTAAGTCTACTCTCTTTGAGAAGTGCTGTTGTTTGTGTAGCATGTAGGTTTTCTCTCTCCTCCGACCGTCTCTCTACAGACTGCTGCTAACTACCAGGAAGAGGTGAGGGTGTTCAAACAGTTCCATGGAAACATCATCGGCAAGGGAGGAAACACTCTTCGCAAGGTGAGAGCACACAAATTTTTATTAACTGATTTCAGACTGTCGATAAACTTCTAAAAGATGTGTAGCAGCGAGGCGCACTTCTTTGCTTGAAATTTGGGCATGACACTTACACTGTGTGGAACCATCACACATGTAATGTGTAGCGCTAGTGAAGAAGACACCGTATCTTAACAAGCACAAAAGGCGAGCGTGTGCGCCGTAAGAAAATCCGTAACTTCCAGGTGAGAAACACGGGTGCAACTTTACTGCCACGGCTTACTCTCCAACTTATCCGTTTTTTTGGTTTGTCAGATTCGCGAGGACACGGAGACTCGAATTGATCTTCCCACTGAGAGCAGTAGCAGTGATGTCATCGTTATTACTGGTCGGAAGGAGAATGTGCAGAAGGCCAGGGCTCGGATTCTGGAGATTGAGAAAGAGATGGTGATCGATCTATATTTGCAACTACTGTTATGTTATAGTTGTATAGCTCAGTATGCGAAAGTCGTGTGCATGTTTAAATCTTCAGGGACACTGTACAAAGCATGTATATGACTGATATCTGTTTTTAGCATGATATTGGGGAAGTCTTCTATTTATTCTATTCTACCATATACGGTATCCCTTATATTCAAGCACTACTGCTACTGTACTAATGTTGAAGTCCACCAATCAACTTTATACGTAAGTGATGCTATTTATAACCCTGTGTGTTACTATTTTCAGGCACTGGTGGTCGACTCTATGCTCTCCATACCACGTCAACTGCACAATGCTGTCATTGGACCGAAGGGAAAGCTGGTGCGGATGGTGATGGACGAATGCGGAGGAGTTAGAATAACTTTCCCTCCGTCTGAGTCGAAGTCGGACGACATAAAGCTGCACGGACCGAAAGAAGATGTAGAGAAGGCTAGACGTATGCTGCAGGAGTTGGCGGATGAGCAGGTTGAGTGAAGGAGGGAGGGAAGGAGGGAGGGAGGATGGAGGGGAAAAAGGAAAAGATAGATTGGGGAGTAATCCTTGCATGGCATGTGTCATTCTAATTGCATACACTGCGTGCTAAGCTAGTCAATTTGTATATTTGTTCATAAGTGTTAAGGTATGTTGTAGGACCCATGTGCATGTGCTAGTCAATTTGTATATTTGTACATAAGTGTTAAGGTATGTTGTAGGACCCATGTGCATCATTTTTGTGATTCTATTATACATGCTGCACTAAAGTATAACGCGTGTATGATGTATGTATAGCTCCCTCAGTTTTGATCTCTGACATTGTCTCCCTCCTTGCTATTCATTCAGGCTCAGTTGAACCACACTGTGGAGATACGGTGCAAACCTGAGTACCATCGCTTCCTTATAGGTCGTGGCGGAGCTAACATCAGAAAGGTATTGGAAATCCAAAATTCATAGTATAGTAATGCATGGATAAGGTAAGTGACCAGCTCATTCCCTAGTACTTCTGTCTCCATTCTAATTGTTGCGGTTGAAACTCAAGGGCGGAATGACAGCCCTGGTAGAGTAGAATCAACTAGAGACAATTACTGCAATCTGATTGGTCATTGGATGACCCAATGTTCCTCCCTACTACTCGTGTGTATATAGGTGGACTAAACCACAGTAGGAGTACTTACGGATCGAGTAAGGCATACAAATGCTTATATATGATTGGTCAGTTGCGAGCATCTCTCATTTCTCAAAATTATTTCAGCCCATCACTGCGAAGCATCTAGTATGGTAGTGGCATGCGAAAACAGCTAGTCACAGGGCAGTTTATCTCCTGCCCTATAATGGCTGAAGGTCTTCTGCAATACACATTGTATGTATGTTTGGTGATTTTTCCTCATCCATCATGCTATTGATTAAGAAGCAAGCATCAGTTAATGATTCTACACTTTAGCACTGCACGCAGATTACAAAAATGCATTACTAATTGTCATTGTACACAAACACTAATTGTCTTGTACACTAACACTAAGGTCCATTCTGGCAACTGTATCCAGAGCAGGAAAGTCCAATTGGAATAGCACATACGAAAGAGAAATACCCATTGTCGCCACCACAGCAGATGTCATGCTGATAGCATCCAAGGTTGTAGCAGCAATCGCCGCAAACAAAGCTCCAACACCACCAGCATCCTGGCCCACACCTTCCCAGGCAGTCGGTTCCGTATGCACACTTCCCGTTACATGATGTGGTTCCTTTTTCGCATTCTCCTTTGACGCAAATACTGTCACTATCTGTGCACTGCACTCTCGACGTTGCTGCTTGTGTTGGTGAAGACCACCACCACCCACGCTTGGTACGCCTGTTGTGCAATTCGTGCCCGTCTATATACTCCCCACTTCCATATCCACTCCCTCCGTGTTTTGCGGATCCTGTGCTTTTATCAGAGCCATTGCTACTCCATAGAAGTGGAGTGCCCCCTGGTTTTCGTAACCCATCACACCTGCCCTCCCTAGCGCTTTAGCTGCAGGTTCGATCAGTGATATCTCTCGTCGGGTGAAAAATCTCATGAGTGCCAGCGCTTGTGCCGTGTTTGCTTCCGTTTCGCTCTGTCCTGTCAGCTGCGATGTTATTCGCTGCTCCTTCCTTGTCTTGATGCCCTCCTTGACTTGATCGATTAGCGACTCGGGCACAATGAATTGATGTTTAATTGGCTCACCATTCTCGCCTGTAGTTGTTTGTTGGAGAAAGTTGGTCCCAAGTACTCGATAGAGCCTGGAGGAGTCACTTGGTGCACTGCCAGCCATGAGTACTTCATTGTCGCTCATCGAGTTGATTGTGATGTTAGAATTGTCACCGTAAATTCCAATTCCCGTTTCCTCAGTGAAGAATATCGCCTCCAGAATGTTGTTTCCGGCGTTGATGATGTGAAGGCGACCCTCTTGTTCGTAGGTGATAGGATTTGCAGAGGCAGCTATGAAAAGGACTGCAAGAAAGGGAAGAAGAAATCCTGCCATTTTTGAAGTAGTCCGCGATATTTTGCCTCTTCTGCAACTGCACATTGAGAGAGCTTCTTTTATAGAGAAATTGGTAGGTGATTGTTCTCCAAAATGAAAATTCCAACCTAATAGTTTTTGTAGTATTGTAGCATTCCCAGATGATAGCCAAACAGAAAAACAGCTGCATGGGGCTTTGGAGTGTTATCTGGAAATCTGATTGGTCAGCGGCTAATTGATTGCTAGTATTTCTGTCGTTGGGGTTAAAACCCAAAGACAGCCCTGGCGAAATTAAACCAACAGGAGTCAAAATACTGAAATCTGATTGGTCGGTGGTCAGTGTGTCCAATTCCTACTGGCCTAAAATAATTACATCCCACTCACTGCAGGTTTGTAGTACGATAGTTGTGTGGGAAAACAGATGGTGCCTGTGTTTCAGTATGCACTTCAGATATTCCGGTTTTCAGGGCTACTCTAAGGAGGTTGTTTTTATGTCTGGAGACCTCACCGAGAAATGCAGAATGACAGCCCTGGCACGAGTAGAATCAACTAAAGACAATTACTGCAATCTGATTGGTCATTGCGGATGACCTGATGTTCCTCCCTACTACTCGTGTGTTTGTGGACTAAACCACAGTAGGAGTACAAACAGTCTTTGAGTATGGTTCGAGTGTGGCGTATAAATGCTTAAATCTGATTGGTCGGTTGCGAGCATCTCTCATTTCTATCGGTCTCGGCGGAATAGAATGAACGGGAGTCAAATACTAAAATCTGATTGGTCAGTGGCAGATGATCCGATGTTACTCCTAGTAATACTCGTGTGTAGGTGGACTGTAGGTAAACAACCACAGTGAGAGTACAAACCCTCTTTCGAGTACAGCCAGTTTTAACCCTTAATGGTCCTTTGGTCATTTCTGTCAGCCTTTGCCACCCCCTCTCTTCTAAAAATCTATGTACATAGTAGAATACGATAGTGGTGAGGGCTAGTGGCAGGAATGTTTATCCTGCACTTAATGTTACTGATTTTGGATCAGCATGAGTCACATGTGGTGTGAGTTGCATTGTACAAACCAGGTAAGGATAGGAACTTAAAGAGATGATTTGTTTCTTTCTCTCTTTCTGACTTTCCATGCGTTTTTTTATGGAAAGCTGTTGTTTATTTTGGCTATAGAGCCATGTAGAGCAGTGGAAATACCAAAAGTTGGATAATTACAATTCAGAATAGAACATAATTGCTTGAAACTCAACTACTTCAAGTGGCAACACAGTCTTCAATGCTAAAGTAATTCAAGAGCATGCATAAAAAAAAAAATGTGTCCTGTTCTTGTACATGTAATCATACTGTCTTATCAGCCAATCAAATCTCCATGTTAGCACCGGTATCCATCGCAGTCGAAGAACAATGGTATAAGGCAGTTAAATGAGTTGCTGTTGCATTTGTCGTGATCATAGCACCCCTGCTGGTAGCAGCATGTTCCACATGCCCACTGCCAGCAACTGTCGCACCCTGGCCCACACCTTCCCAGGCAGTTTGGTCCGTCTGCACACTTCCCGTTACATGATGAGGTTCCTATTGTGCATGATCCGCTCTCGCAAGTACTAGCCGTACGGCTGCACCACACTCTCGACTCTTTGGAGTGGTATCTGGATGAAATCTGATTGGTCAGCGGCTAATTGGTTGCCTAGTATTTCTGTCTCCATCATAATTGCTGCGGTTGAAACCCAATGAGAACCCTGGCAGCTGGAATCAAATACTGGAATCTGATTGGTCAGTGGCAGGTAATCCTATGCTCCTTTCATAATACTCTTGTGTGAACCACAGTTGGAGTACAAACTATCTCCTGAGTGTGGTTCGAGTATGGTGCTTGCTTTTGTAGAGAATTTACAAATAGGGTTTGTAGTATTTCCAGATGGTAGCTGGTTTTTTGCGCTGCCCTTGTTGTAGTAATTGCTGTGGTGAAACATCCAGAACAGAATAACAACCCCATAGAGTCAAACCAGCTTTCGAGTGGTGTCTGCTGAAATCCGATAGGTCAGTTCCATTTCTTCCCCTGTCTCCGTTCTAATTGTTGCGGTTGAAACTCAAGGGCGGAATGACAGCCCTGGTACGAGTAGAATCAACTAGAGACAGTTACTGCAATCTGATTGGTCATTGCAGATGACCTGATGTTCCTCCCTACTACTCGTGTGTAGGTGGACTAAACCACAGTAAGAGTACTTATGGATCGAGTAAGGCGTACAAATGCTTAAATCTGATTGGTCGGTTGCAAGCATCTCCCATTTCTATCGGTCTCAAAATTATTTCAGCCCATCACTGCGAAGCATCTAGTACGGTAGTGGCATGCGAAAACAGCCAGTCACAGGGCAGGTTACCTGCCTTATAATGGCTGAAGGTCTTCTGCAATACACATTGTATGTATGTTTGGTGATAGAAGCAGGCATCAGTTAATGATGCAAATGAATGTTTGGTGATTTTTCCTCATCCATCATGCTATTGATTAAGAAGCAGGCATCAGTTAATGATTCTACATTTTAACACTGCACACACACATTACAAAAAAGCATTACTAATTGTCATTGTACACAAACACTAATTGTCATTGTACACTAACACTATGGTCCATTCAATAGCAACTGTGTCCAGCGCAGGAAAATCCAATTGGAATAGCACATCCGAAAGAGAAATACCCATTGTTGCCACAGCAGATGTCATGCTCATAGCATCCATGGTTGTAGCAGCAATCGCCGCAAACAAAGCTCCAACACCACCAGCATCCTGGGCCACACCTTCCCACGCAGTCAGGCTCGTCTGCACACTTTCCGTTACATGATGGGGTTCCTGTTACGCATGTTCCTGTGTCGCAATCACTGTTGCTACGACTGCACGGCGAAGGCGACCACCACCACCACCCACGCTTGATACGCCTGTTGTGCAATTCGTGCCCGTCTATATACTCCCCACTTCCATATCCACTTGTGTTTTGCGGATCCCGTGCTTTTATCAGAGCCATTGCTACTCCATAGAAGTTGAGTGCCCCCTGGTTTTCGTAACCCATCACACCTGCCCTCCCTAGCGCTTTAGCTGCTGGTTCGATCAGTGATATCTCTCGTCGGGTGAAAAGTCTCATTAGAGATAGCGCTTGTGCCGTTTTTGCTTCTGTTTCGCTCTGTCCTGTCAGCTGCGAAGTTATTCGCTGCTCCTTCCTTGTCTTGATGCCCTCCTTGACTCGATCGATTAGCGACTCGGGCACAATGAATTGATGTTTAATTGGCTCACCATTCTCGCCTGTAGTTGTTTGTTGGAGAAAGTTGGTCCCAAGTACTCGATAGAGCCTGGAGGAGTCACTTGGTGCACTGCCAGACAGTAGGACTTCGTTGTCGCTCATCGAGATGATTGTGATGTTAGAATTGTCACCGTAAATTCCAATTCCCGTTTCCTCGGTGTAGAATATCGCCTCCAGAATGTTGTTTCCGGCGTTGATGATGTGCAGGCGACCCTCTTGTTCGTAGGTGATAGGATTTGCAGAAGCAGCTATGAAAAGGACTGCAAGGAAGGGAAGAAGAAATCCTGCCATTTTTGAAGTAGTTTGCCTCTTCTGCAGTTGCACAATTGAGAGAGCTGCTTTTTTATAGGATCTGGTAGGTTGTTTGTCTTCCAAACTGAACATTCAAACCTTATAGTTTTTGTAGTATTGTAGTATTCTCAGATGGTAGCCCAAAGTATATTTCAGAAAAACAGCTGCATGAGGCTTTGGAGTGGTATCTGGATTAGAACATTGAAATCTGATTGGTCAGCGGCTAATTGGTTGCCTAGTATTTCTGTCTCCATCATAATTGCTGCGGTTGAAACCCAATGAGAACCCTGGCAGCTGGAGTCAAATACTTCAATCTGATTGGTCAGTGGCAGGTAATCCTATGCTCCTTTCCTAATACTCTTGTGTGAACCACAGTTGGAGTACAAACTATCTCCTGAGTGTGGTTCGAGTATGGTGCTTGCTTTTGTAGAGAATTTACTAATAGGGTTTGTAGTATTTCCAGATGGTAGCTGGTTTTTTGCGCTGCCCTTGTTGTAGTAATTGCTGTGGTGAAACATCCAGAACAGAATAACAACCCCATAGAGTCAAACCAGCTTTCGAGTGGTGTCTGCTGAAATCCGATAGGTCAGTTCCATTTCTTCCCCTGTCTCCGTTCTAATTGGTGCAGTGAAACCCTGGCAGAAAATGCTGAAATCTGATTGGTCAGTGGTCAGTGTGTCCAATTCCTATTGGCCTACAACCCACTCACTGCAGGGTAGTTGTGTGGGAAGACAGATGGTGCCTGTGTTTCAGTATGCACTTGAGATATTGCGGTTTTCAGGGCTACTCTATGGAGGTTGTTTTTATGTCTGGAGACCTAAAGTTGCAGGGGGTTCGTGGTATCCCCTAGGCTCCTTCTACCACTTCAGATATTGCAGTTTTCAGGGCTACTCTATGGAGGTTGTTTTTATGTCTGGAGACCTAAAGTTGCAGGGGGTTCGTGGTATCCCCTAGGCTCCTTCTACTACTTCAGATATTGCAGTTTTCAGGGCTACTCTATGGAGGTTGTTTTTATGTCTGGAGACCTAAAATTGCAGGGGGTTCGTGGTATCCCATAGGCTCCTTCTACCACTTCAGATATTGCAGTTTTCAGGGCTACTCTATGGAGGTTGTTTTTATGTCTGGAGACCTAAAGTTGCAGGGGGTTCGTGGTCTCCCCTAGGCTCCTTCCAGATATTCTGCCTTTCAGGGCAACTCTATGGAGGTTGTTTTTATGCCTGGAGACCTCACCAAGTACTGCTTTAGCTTGCATGCATATACAGGACTCCTATTTGCAGGGAACCTGTTGAATCTGTAGGAGTCTCAGAGTGATTTTGAGGGGTGGGTGAAGCAGCCTGCAACTCATTCCATCGCAGAAAGTCCACGTGCAGTGTCGTCATTATTGCACTCACTTTTCGCAGTGTTTATGTATAGGTTAGATCACTGGAACGAGTCACTACGAGGTTTGAATAACCCGAGGGGGAGGGGTGAGAAGTGACGCAATAGTGACCGAGGCGGAGCCGAGGTCACTATCATCCCGACCCGCGAGGGTTTTCAAACCGAGGAGACGAGTTCAGTGGTCTAACTGGCTTAGAATCGCGGCACGGAGAGCGCAGTTTCGCTTAGTCTTTTCGATAGTGTGCAAGACCCGTTACCCAGTTTGCTCTGCCTTCCAGAATTTAGGCTCGTTGGCCCATTTGCTCATAGCTTCGAGACTGCAGGACGCGTTCATCGTACTAGCATCGCAGCAACTGGACGGATATATCCTGCGAGCCCCGCCGGAGCAAGACACTGCCACTGGAGCGCTCAGCCCGCGTCGCTTGATCTGGACGCGATTTGTTGTTTGTCGCTAGTCAGACGTTGAAATCAGCTACGTGGCTCTCCGGGAAACGCCTGACTAGCGACCAACAAAACATCGTCCAAGCGACGCGGGCTGAGCGCTGCGATGCTTGTATGATGAGGTCGGCGGCAGTCTCGAAGCTAGGAGCAAATGGGCCTCCCCACTCCTTGATTATTATGGATTTGACCTTTGTGAAACCTCAGTGATCTAAATTCTTCACAGTGATCTAACTTGCAACTTAGAGACTTAGTACTTGATACCTGGCAGACCTAGTACTACGGGCTTTAGACACTTGATTACTACGCTCAACATCAAAGGGAATTATTCATGAGAGGTTCTAAGGGCAGATTATGCATACTCATCAGTTCTGTGGCTCACCTACTGTATCATCATGCAGTGCGGTAAAATTGTTCAGCATGTTTACCAGGTCCTCGGGGCATAAATGCGAACTGTAAAGTGTCGAAATAGTTTCAGGTGTGTGGCTGATGAGAGCCCTTACTGTAGAACTGTTGCAATGCACAGACATGTTGTGGTGGCTTTCCTAAAGCTGGTATATGTATGTAAAGTTGCACTTCCCCTATTTTTGCCGATGTATACCTATACCACCCTCAAGTGGATGCAACAACATGGTCCTAACATGATTCATGCCATGTGAAGCGCAAACTGATTATGGCCTGTTCATGTGATCTCTAGCAGACGTGTGATCGTATTGAAATGTATATACCAGACCCCTTTTCCGCATAATCCGAAGAAAAACTTTATGCATGCGTATAAATGGATATACAGTAAAAGTTATTTCTACATGTGATTTATCACTCCTTTTGTGTGGCCGGACAATGGTTTCCACTGTGTGCGTCGGGTTCTTCTCCTTCTTGGATATCCTCCAGCGAATGCGCTCATTGTTTGTGCCCCCCGCTCTCCTTATTTAGTCTGAGGCCGGTGTATCCTTCGTTTACCATCCTCCTCCTTTGCCTACTAGCCCTCAATTGTTGTCCTCTCTTATTCATGCGTCGATGCTTTCGCAACGGCGACAGAACGCACGCCCACCTCTTTCGATCAAGGGCGCCCCGAACTCCCGGGCACTAACGGCACCTTGAAATCTGCTTTATTGCTGAACCGGTGCTAGCGCGTCGTCACCCAGCAAGTGTTGCATACTCCGCACCTTCTTCTGTCATTACCACTGAGACTGCTGCCGCCCGGTTATGCCCATTCTCAGATTTTCGCGATCATATCCGTCAAAGCAATTTCATTGGACCTACTCCACTCCCGTGCGGCCGGCTCCACGGCCTTGTACCGCTTTCTCGTGCCGACTACTCCCGGTCTGCACTAGAGCCGCCGGCGAGTCCACTTGCTAGTCTGCCGCGCTCCGTCATACGCAACCCATGGCATGATTTCGAGTCCTCCTGTATCGAAGAGAATATGTGCGGCGAAAGTGGATCGGGGCTAGCTGCTCCGGCCCAAAGAGGACTTAGTTAGCAGGGGTCACCTGCGGGCAAGCCTGCGGTCGCCTCGCACCACAGCGCCCGTAGAACTTGACGCGGGCGGAGTGGTACCACGCTGGAGTCCAGGTCGGTCCCGTGTTCGGGGGTGGTGGACCTGCCGGGGCCCTGACCGGCGCGCGCGTCACTACCCCGAGCCTGCGGCAGAGTGAGGCAGGCCTAGGATGGCCGGAATGGGACGAAGAACGCAGGTAGACGTCTATTCACTGAAGCTGCGAAATACCGATGCTTGCAAGGTGTGCAGGTCGGGAGTATCGCTACAGCCCCCACCGATAATAGCGCGACGCGCCAAAATGACCAAGCTTGGCGGCAAACGTTCGGGAGCGCCTTAACCACGCATGGGGCCGGACGGATGAAGGACCGCACTAGAGACT